TAAACTCATACCCGAGATTGGTAAAAGCATGATTATGACATTATTCTTGACTTCTTGAAAATTGCATTGAAAGATCAATGGAAAAATGAACTTTCATATTCATAACTGATATTGGACTGCATAATCGTCTCACCATTGCAAAACTGGTACAAAATCTAACAATTATACAAGACTTGGTCATGATGGTGTTGTCACTAAAACAACTCATTACATTGTCGCACATCATTGATCAGATATTGCACATTTTGCCAGCAGTTTGAGTGGATTTAAAACAATTCAAAATGCAGTAATTAATGTCTTAGTACTTATTCTTGATTATATTTTTTCTGCTTATATTGGCCCCATAAAATCTGAATAAAATTTGTGTCATATACATGTAGGACAATACAGTGTGGCTTAAAAACAGTCATGTATAAGCAACAGAAAGGAATGCTCATCAGTTCACTACGTAGAAATTACATATTATTGCTTTTTTCTCAAAGTGCTTAGTAAAACCTGATCATGCAACAGACAAGCAAGCACATATACAAGGAAAAATAGAAATATTTATACCATATTTTAAGCAACAGTACACTTCTTGCAATTACTTCTAATTGCTTCTAATTCCTTCTGATTTCAGAACTGGTAGCCAGATTATGCAACAAAGATTTCAGCAAATAAATATACAGCGGGAAAAGGAATCAGTTATAAGCAACAGAGGAATACCTAGTATACTACTAGGACGTGCATCCAATTGTTTCTCTCTGATTTCAGAATCAGTAGCCAGATTTTGCAACGAAGTAAGCAACATTATATAACTGAATTATAGTTTTTACCCACATGGGCTTAATGCAGCAGTTACATTGTGCAACAGTCTAAAGGTAAAATGTCATTACAGTAGTGCTGATAGTAAAGGAGGCAAAAAAACTAAGTATATAAATCTATTACTATCGTATACAGTAAAGTTTTATTGCAAATATACATTCTAGCAAAAGCTACAGTGAGAAGTATGAAGTATAGAATGATATGAAACTAGAACAACTATCCATCTGGGATTGGTGTGTTACAGTTCCCGTGGTAAATGTTGACTTCGCCTGCACAGTCGTTGTAGAAATCGAACACCTCCTGGTAGCCCTTGTCCCTCCACCAGGTGCAGAGCTGTCTGTTCCAGGTGCAGGGGAGCACGTGGAACAGCTGCGGGTACCTGTAGTTCAGAAGCAAACAAATATACAGAATGTATATCTGTATCAGTAGCTCAGGTATAACCACCTTTTGGCGTATCACACCAGTTTCTGTATCTGTATAGCCGGTATAACCTCCCTTCGGCGTAACACACCAGCTTCTGTATCTGTATAGCCGGTATAACTGCCCTTCAGCATAACACACAAACAAACAAACAAACAAACAAAGCTGCAGTACCTGTAGCTGAGGAGTGTGAAGTAGTCCTGATCTCCCAGGTGCCCCTTGAAGTGAAACTCCTCCGACATGTTTCGGACCACATTTCCATCCAGGAGGGAGTTGTAGAGACCTGCACATAAATAAAAAATAGAAAAAAATTAAATGTATAATTTTGTAAAGTGGTTAACCTTTAGCACACTGAAGTACTACTAGCTGTTCGGCTACCAATTCTCAATTGGGGAGTTGTGGAGACTTGGGATGAAAAAGACGGGAGGATGACATCAGTTTTGAGAAGGGACTGGCTTTACACTATGCGAAATGCTAATAAGTACAGAAAACAGAGAAGAGTGGAGAAAACTGGTTATCAAATTGTCTGTGAAGTTGAAAAATTGTCAAATCATCTGTCACATCATTGAAGTTGAAATCTTCTTCACCTTCTCCTCCTACCTAAACCAATACATGCACATATTTGGTACCAAAATTTTAGCAGCTAATCATTCAATCCAAGCTTGAAGGTTGATAAACCGTCACTAACCTGACTCCCTCATCCGGTCCAAGTCCAGCAGCAGGACTCCACTGTTGAACCCAGGCTGGCCATCGGGTGGGGGGTCCCCGACTTTTGTACCTTTGTGTTGGGTGATATGGTGAAGGTTAGACAACCAGGTAACAATTACTCATCATAGACAATTCATACTCAAGTCACTACTACTGGATAAAAATAAAGCATTTTGAGTGTTATCCATCACTCTTCTTCAGCATCACTAAAATGAAGTAACAGAACTACTCAACACTTACAGTATATATGGGTGACTGGAAAATATGATTGAACATGACAACTTGTAAGTGTCATTGATGTGTAAATCAATTTAAGATACATATAGTCAATTCAGACTCTACTACTGGGTAGTATCTCATTACAGAGGGGACACTTAGAGGGGTCCACCCAAAAATAGGCTAGGGCCGGCAGTTTTTTCTAGGGTTGGTTGGGAAACTGGAAACACAACATTTTTTCCTAGGCCCAAGGACAAGGGTGTTATTTATTGATGTGTAAATCAAGTTCAGATAATCATAGTCAATTCAAATTCTACTACATGTACTAGATAAATTACAGAGATCCAACCTTTGTGTTCGTTCCTGTACTGCCAGAAGGTGTGCCTGTACACCGGCTGCTGCTCCTGTGCTATCCCGATCACGTTCCCCGACTCGAAACGGTCGAACATCTCGAAAAGCTCCCTGACGTCTGACCGGAACTTCAGATCGCAGTCCAGCTGAACGATACGTTTTGTCTCCGCGGGGAAAACCTGTTTATTGTTTGTTTATTAAATAATTGTTTATTGCAAATTCTTGCCCGAGGGCTAATTGCAGGAACAGAAGAAACATGGTATAAAAACAGACAATTAGTACATATAGAACTACTGATAACTACTAAGAAACTACTGGATTTGACTTCTTTTTCGAAGACAGAGGATTTGTGGGTTTTCGGATGTTAAGAGGAGAGTAGTTTTCATTTGTATATGGGTGAAAGTTTGGGTAGAACTTGGAGGCTACGTCAAAGAGTTCATTTCGTTCATTGCTATAGAGGGTACAATTTGATATAAAATGCGTTTCGTCTTCCACGTATTCAACGTACATATTGTAAATTGTATGAGAAAGTCCAATCAACAAATCAACAAAACCAGGAAAGCAAACAAACCTGGTGCATCCCGACGGACAGGAAGAATATGGAGTCTCCGTAGTAGGACTTGGCTCCGGCGCTGAACTTTTCCTGCATCGGCTGCACAATGGGGTACAGGGTCTCTGTCAACTCGGCGGGGTCGTGGAAGGACAACTGGAAAGGAAGAAAGGCCAGTTATTTAATTTTATTTCCTTTATTGGGAATGCAACAGTGCATGACAAGTGGTAGCCAGACAGCAGCAAGGCTAGTAGCGGCTACCACTGATACATGTACATAATACAAACCATAACAACATACTAGAGTCATACGACAAAACATCAATATTATACAAAAGCAGTGCATCATAATAAAGAAATGGCAATACATCATTAATTAGTATCATTGTTGCAGACTTTTGCTCAAGCAACTTGTATCATCATTGTATGCCACAAGCCATTGCTGTAACACATTATTGTATTTGTTGGAAAGAAAATGCGAGAAATTATTCTAAAATAAATGTAGCCTAAGGCATTATTTCATCCACAAAGCTCATCTCCTCCATGTACCACCTGTTCAGACTGAATTATGATAACTGCTTGGAAGTATTTGCCAAAAGTGAAGCATGTGATGCAATATCTCCAAAGATTGCTCTTTCAGCACTAAGGACAGGCACATACTGCTGCTAAGGAGCATTCAGTACCATTTCCTGGACCCTATAAAGTATCTCAGAGTTTAGAATTTAGATTTAGATCAGCACAGATTTAGAATCTTTATCAATTAATATATTAACTAAGATTTTTCCTTTCATTCCAAGTTTACAAACCTTAATTTGAAGATGAAGTTTAATTAGCCTGATTCTCAGGCTACGTACCTGTTACATAACAGATCAACTTGCCATGATTGTAATTTGCCACCTGAAGCCTTCTAATTGGCTAAACAAATTCAGGTTACAGTTGGGTGAGCAGCTTAGAGGGTTGAATTAACTGAAGGTTGCCACGTAGACATGCCTGCCCTGCTTGTCTTTAGGGTCCCCCAAATAAAACATGACGAACACGCATACCAGTCCATGTAACGTTACATGCAGAAGACAAAAGCTAAATGTTTTGTGACAGCTTGGATAAAATCTGTATTTTCTTTGATAATTAATGACAATTAATTTGCAAAGGGCAAGGTGTAAAAACACTGTGGGAGTTAAAATATCATTGTGATGAAATACCGTTGGCCAATCTATTTGGCTAAGAAATCTGACAATGAAAAGTGGACAATGGCAAAATACCTTGAGTGTGATGTTACGAAAATCACCAGATGTCAACTTGAAGTATGTTTAGTAACAAGTATTAATACTAACATATCTTACCTTTAACAATCCCTTCTGTAGCCATGTGCCGACGATCCCCTCCGCTATGGGTCTACTGTCCGGATCTGAGACAAGATGTAGATGTAGGATCTCTCCCCTGTCAGGCCGGATTGTGGACTTCTGCATCATAGAGTTAAAACACAACTTAAACTTGTCTATCAGTCCTCTATTGTTCCCAGCTTTCGTGAACATCTGCAATACGTGATATTCAACTTCCTGGGAGTCGTCTTTCTCTGAATCCTGGTCCTCTTCAACTTCTTCTTGTTGTCCCTTGGCATCTTGTACAAGATTTAGTCCTTCTTTGGCGTCGGCTTTTGCAGCATGAGTTTTAGTTTTACTAGGATCCGCTGGAGAGTCCTGGTGGCCCATATGGGCTGCCGATATTTCTTTCTCCTTGGCTAGAACGTCTGAAAACGTTTCTCTGCCCGCTAGTTGGTAAAATCCGAGGACTAAAGCAACAACAAGGACGGCAGCCCAGAACTTGAGAGATGTCAGCATCTTGAGACCCATCTGGAGGGTGTGGAAATGTCTGAAAGATGACGAAGCTACATTGGATCTTTTATTACCCGCACCGCCTCTCGCCATGTTAGTTCCGGGTGTGATGAGGCTGTGCACATCCGACCTTCGAAAAGTAGTCCAGCATATTTTCAATACGTTTCAAACTATATAAAATCCTATATCACTCAGATTTAATTATAATTCTAATATATATATGATAATAAACATAATTGGATCTAGAAATATAGGTTTAGGTTATTTTGTTGGGAATGTCAGGATATGACCTCCGACCTGTGTATTACTGCGCAACCCCTTCAGTGATACGCCTAAACAAAGGAATGTCCAAGTAGATGTTTGGTTGGGACGTTTTCTTGCTGGTATAGTGTCTTGACAAAGAAAGGCGAAATAAACCTACATTATGCTAGTGTAAAGCGCAAAAATATGTCACTTTCATTTCACCAGTATAATTTACTATACTGGGATATTTATCATAAATATTTATTGTATTTCATATGTTAAATATTTATGATAATTTCTAAAAATCATAATTTACAGTTACCACAATGAACAAAATATCATTTGAAGCCCTCCTTGTAGGCATTTATTCACTGTAATTCTCACTCATAACTGAGTAAATGAGATACAAATCAAATGTCAGTATTTTCTGTGTTGTAGGATTCCCGCAGGTAATTCAGAGAACAGATAAATTAGTGTTATTACTGAGTGAATATCTTGGTAAACAGTCAAATTACCTATCATATCCAGGGCACATTTAATACACAAGCTTACAGTGTGGACATACCTGTTTACTTCAAAATACATGTTCACAGAACAGTATTTTCAGTCCTTCCCTCTCTTCCTCACATCAAATGCTTTTCTTTCACCTTTCTTACTGAACTAATAACCCTAAAATGCATTTGTTCTATGGCAGCTCCTATATACAAACAATAGTGAAATCAGCATGCCCAATCTCAGCACCCATTTGTTGTTAGTTACAATTTTTGAAATCTCATTATTAACATCAGAAAATATAACTCTAAAGCCCACTACAAAGCAATTATAGCTTCCACTCCCATGGTGTTTTGAATTTTGAACTAACTAGTTGACTCGTTACGGACATATAGATGGCAACAATTCTTTAGAAGCGTCTGTGAAGGTTAGACAGACATAATAAGATATGCCAAGCAACTGGATAGACTTTGGAAACGGTCAGATGAAAACTTTTGTTTCCACATGGACTTCCAAAAATATCAATCACTAGTCCTTGCTTATAAACCTGCCTTTCTGCACAAGTTCTCCAGTGTCAATTTACGAACGGTAGTGGATGCTACCTAAAATATCTGACTGTTTCCAAAATCATATCCAGTTGCTTGTGTAACTGTTTTTTGGGCAGATTCCAAGGAAGCTTTATCTTAGCTGCTAACAATACATTCAATATCTGCAATAATCAACATACAGGTTTCACTCACTGCAATTAAGTTGTCATTATCTCAAAAACCCAGTGATATATTTAAGATTTGAAAGGACAGTATTTATCTACATTGTACATCCATTCTCAGTAGGCACTAAAACATACCAGTGGAAGATCTCATTTTTGCTCAACTCCCCTGACCATTAGGCAAGACTTAGTAACACACAATGGAAAACTTTTTTTCTTTAAAAAAGCGTCCTGTCCACCCCTGCATGCTCCTGAGCCAATGGTATGGTCCCTGTCATGTCACTGAAAAATATCTCAAGTTCTCCAAATGTCCTAGATCCTGACTCTTTCCTCAGTCTAATAATTTGAACTTGTGACAAGCTTTCTTTCTTCACGATAATGGGTTATTATACTGTAGATCGATGCTCTCAGTCAGTCCCCCTTTGATGTGATTGGTTGATTCCTCCTCTGTTGTCTTGGTAACTGCCTCCTTGCTACATGCCTGGTGCCAGCCAATTCAGGAACTTCATGCACAACTCGTAACCAAGGAAACAAGCCTGGAAAAAGGAAATTGTAAAAAGAAAATCACCGATCCTATCATACATAACGTATCTTCTTCTTCTTCACTCATCCTCATCTGAGGTGTAGCTTGTGAAGTTTTGTCTCCAATACAGTCTGTCAGTCATTGCGGACAGAAGTCCCGATCCTTGCAGACCAGTTTCAGACTCAATGAGACCCTTAAGTGTTGTGACTTCAAGACTTTTCTGGACAATTCATGACAAAAGCTATGAAGTACATGATTTGACCATCACAAATCTGGGGTCCAAATGCTATCAAATTAAACTTATACTTACACTTGGTGGCATATAAATTTAGGGAATCCAGCAACCTGTATCTTATTACATTTTGTCTGACCCTGACCTTATGCTCTCAATGAAAAGCAACTTGAGTACTTCATGAATAAAGAAAAGAAAAAAAAAAACTGTACTCACAGCATTAGCAGGGAAGGCCCTGACCATGATAGGAGCCACCCCCTTGAACAGAGCCTGTGGTCCTTCTTCCCTGAGTAGGTGTTTCAACACGTCACCAACGCCCTTGTACTTCCCAGCAGGGGCTAGGATAAAGATACAGCAACAACAATCTTATAAAACGAACATTCTTATATCAAATGTGTCAAGGAAGATACACATCTAAGTAAAGTGTTTTAAGTATTGAATCAAAGAAGAAGTGACATAAAAATTTACGTTACTCATCCAGGTAACATATTAAGCAAATTCATAATCTATCCTTAACTTTGCTTGGGGAACTGTTTTCTTGTGTAGCTAGTATAATTGAATCTTTTATTTAAAAAATCATGCATGTAAAGTATCAAAGTAAAGTAAAACATGTAGCCACTTTATATTTATGTATAATAATGTATAACCATACCTGTTTGGAAGCGTGACTTGAGTGTATCTGGTGCGATGGCCACCATCCAGTTAAAAACTCCTGCCATGCCTAGGGAGAGAAGAACAAAAGGTTATGATATGAAAAAACAGACCTTAAATTTTTCATCCTCATATTTCTAATTTCTTCACAATACAACCAAAAGCAAGACATGCATCCAAAGTTACAAACTAAGGAATTTTCTTCATGATGAGTGACTTTTCTGACACACAGAGTAAGTTCTCTGTTCAATATGTTTGTAAAAGGACAAACTTGACTTAGCTTACCTCCTGCAAACAGTGTCCTCCCTGCACTGATATCTTTCCGGCTGTATGAAGGAGAGGGAAGTAACAATATGAGTACAACAAAACCTGATGGTGCAATTTGAAACTTTCTGTACGCAAGGTTGTTCTATGTAGAAATATTTCTCTATGAATCTGAAAAACTACTCAAAAGAAACACTCCAGTTCTACAGAAGACCTGCCCCCAGATGTGAACCTCCAATATCTTTTTAACACAGTCAACTTTGTTCTCCAAAGATATTTATCAACAAATGACAAAGTGTACTCACGTCTTCCCCTCTGGTGTCAGTTTGCGCTGAAGAATCTCGTAGCTCATGAAGTACATTCCGCTGGCAGGCACATCTGGAAAATGGCACAAGACATGAATATCATTTTAAGCAAATACATGTATAGCAATCTTTTTGCTCACTATGGCCATGTTACAGAAAAATTATTAGGCAACAGATACACAAGTCATACCTGTATATTACTTTATTAGTATACATAGCGGTAAGAACCACCTGGCCAATGTGGCAACTTTTTGGTGGTGACCATTTACTGGCATTAGATAATTTTCCCCATTAACACAAGTGTTAGACCCCGTAGTGACCACCTGTCCACACAGACAAAATTCTATCTGTCCCCTGAGTGGTTTTCTTGGGCAGTTTGGGTTGGGCTGTAGATCTGTGACACACAGTGGATGGATGAAACCAAGTATATTCACCCCTCATGAGTGTAAGAGCCGTCCCTCTGTAGACACTCCTGATCCCCCCTTCCCTGTACAGCTGCTTGGCACAGTCCACCGGACCTGCATACTTCTTGGACCCAGCATCGGCCTGGATCTAAAACAGATACATGTATACAACAAACATCATGACAAGCTTCACTTCACATGACAAGCCTCACTGTGTCAGTCTACTGAGGAAGACCACAGAGACTGGTCAAAAGCTCTAGGTGAGAGAACTTCTTTGTGTTGAACCAAAAGTTTTAACTTTAAACAACAAACATCATTGTTAATTTTCCCATGAGGTAAAATTACAGTTGATGTAGCACTTAAAATAAATGTGATAGAGGGCTAGAAATACATGTTCCACCTATAGCAGTGCAGGTATGTATACATGTTGTATGCAGAAAAAAGTATTTCCAGCCCTGACTAAAGAACTAGGAGTCTTCTTACTCTCCAAGCAGAGGTTTGTGTGCGAAGAATGTTACCTTTCTATGATACGCCCCATTTTCCGTCGCTACAACCCACCAATCGCTACCAGCACCACAGTATTAGGGAGTAGCAACAGCAAACTGGGCATATTATAGAAAGGTCACAATCTTCCCCACACACCTCTGCTTGGAGAGTAGAGTTTCCAATATACAACACACTCTGCCATTAAGATCTGGTTAAAACCACTGCAAAAGTTTGACAGTAGCCATACGAGCCTCACCTGCAGTAGGCACTTGATGCGCTCGCCAGGTGCCATGATGACAGTCGTGAAGACACCTGCCAACATACCTGCATTCCACAGCTGGATGTACCTGTGACAAAGAGAACAGTTATAGGCTGAGATAGTACATGTGTTTGTACATATTGTGGGTTATCAGATATACTCCTACCAGACACTATACCTGTACTACAAAAGAAAAGGGTAAAACATTGATATAGCTTTAGCAGCTGACACACTTTAAAGTAAAGAAAGACTGGGGCATGCATGTTAAAATATTTCAATATGCTGCCTATTCTTAGTATATATTACACATGAATAAAGTGAATCATACATTCCAAACTGAGTGATCAAGATGTACAGTAGACATCGAGGTACGTGTCTTACCATAAAAATGTCACTGATTGAGGAATATTCTACTGACTGTGATACACATGTGTTGCATGAATCTCTTCAATGAGTCTATCTTTGAATGGATGCCATAGGAGAAAAGCTCAGTGATGACGGGAATGTAACAGTGAACTTACGACAGCTCAGCGTTGGTTTTCTCTCCTGCCTGCAGCTTTTTGCCCAGCCCAAAACCGAAGAAACAGACAGCAAACATGGGAGACACTCCCACTATGGGTGCTGCCATGCCCTTGTACAGGCCTCGGAAACCCTGGGAGGGATGCACACAAAAAGGTATCTTAATTTGTTCAAGAGATCATACATGTATGTTGAGAACTGTACAGTAGAGATATTTACTACATTTCTAGTACTATTTACATAATCAATATACCTGAAGCAGTTTTCTTGTGTGCAGAAATTGAAAATACAGTTAAACCTGTACAGGGGACTACCTCCACCTGGCCAATGTGAACACTTTTTGGTGGTCCCTTTGGTGGTCCCTTTCACACTTTTTCTCATTGACACAAACATGATTGAGAATTTGTCTGTAGTGACCACCTGTTAATATCATTTTCTCAGTCACCTGAGTGGTCTTCTTGGCAGGTTTGACTACAAAACAAGGTGCAGATGAGACACAGCTGCCATTGTCTTGCATTTGTTGTGCAGATAAATAAACAGATAGCTGAGACCACTGACCTCCTTCATGACTGTCTGCCTGGCACAGTCCCATGCTCCTGCAAACTTGGGGGCCTGTCCTGGAGGGGGGGTGGGCTGGGTCTGAAGTCGCACCTGAAAAAACAACAGAAAGCCTCATTAGTTCATAGCACAAGTCTTCAGCACAAACCTCTAGGCGTCATTTATGTTTCTGTGTATCAATAAGCCCGTGTAAACAAACTTGGGGGCTGTTCTAGAAGCAGGGGGTGGGCTGGGTCTGAAGTTGTACCTGAGAAAACAACACAAGTCTTCATTCATTTTTCATAGCACAAGTTTACAGGACAATCCACTTACTAGTATCATATGGAATGTGTCTGTGTCTTTTTTTCTGTATCTATACAACTGGTAAAACCAAAATGTCTTGGAAAGTTGGAGATGGGAGGTGCTGGGTTTGGAGACTGACATGCAAACATAACACAAGTCAGAAAACTTTGAATTTTACACACGACATCTACTTGGAGATTGCACCTGCAGTCCATGCAAAGTAGTTCAACGACCTAGCAGTCATATCAGACTGGGGTCACCTCTGGATGTACATCATGTAAATGCATTGATGAATAATAATGCTGCTGTAGTCTGTTAATTAAGCATGGCACCACAGGGTGTCCTTTAATGAATGGACATAGCAATACAGTAAGTTGTTTCTTGGACCAATCAGATGCAAATGTGGGGATAGGAAAAACTTCCCTGTTACAATGTACAATGAGTTTCTACACACATATAGTGGGGTCTCTGCATGCTTTTTTTCAACAATTCATTACCAATAATTTTATATTCCGGTAATTCGTATTCAAATGGCTCTTATTAACTTAATATTCATAATCAGAAGGCACATGTATTATATAAGCAAAACCCCACAATGGCATACAAATAAATAACGTTAACACGTCCTTGGTCCCACCTGTCGTATTGATGCCTGGCAAACGTACACGGATGTTTACGCACTTAGACGTATAAATTTTAACAAGTCAGGGCTTATACCACTACCACACCTTACTCAAAACTACCTGTACACACCTTTAAAGGATTGTACATACCATTACTACTTGTATATAATTTTGCAACCACTGATGTTCCTACCTTGATGGTATCCAGTGGATGCCCCGTTACCACCGTACACACTCCTCCAAAACCACCGGCTATAAAGTCTTTAGCTGGGCTTACATCAGACATATTGTAGAGTTCTCTGGATCTATCCTTAAGTTACAAAATTTTATCTAAACGCCGGATGCCGGTATTCAAGGTGTGTAGACTGTTCACGTGAAGCACACGTGAAGAAAAAATGAATGGTAAGATCCTTGAGACGTTGTAGGACGCATAAGAAGTTGGAGAAGTATTGTAGAATCTCCCGGCCCTGTTGATTCAAAGTATCGATCGATCGATCCCAAGCCGATAAGCTACCCTGGCAAAACTCCAGTACAACGCAGCGTAGTTGTCTACAGTAGAATTACACGGACACCGGCCGGTTTTTCCGATCCAAAGAGGGGAGGGGTACCGGTAACAAAAGAGCAGACAGTAGGGGCAGAGGTTAGGGGTTACATGTGACGATTATTATTCAAATTTAGCGCATCCCTGATGTAAATTTTCCGGCCGCAGCCAATGGAGCCGTCCAACAAAGGTGGGAGGGCGGGGCTATCGGACATATTGACCTACAGCGCATTCGGTAACCTGAACTAGAGGTCACAGACAAAAACCAGGCTAGAAGAGACAATGACAGCGGTTCTTAGCGAAGGATATCGCGTGGTAGAATGTTTGGGACCTTACCTTGATGGTGTCGAGCGGGTGTCCTGCGAAGACAAGACAAACCCCGCCAAAACCTCCGGCGATGAAGTCTTTTACCGGGTTAACGTCCGCCATGACAGCTGAGTAGTAGTGGAAGGCCCTTCAGCACCTTATATGGAGGACCCCGGAGTGAGAAAGATTAGCACTCCAAATATGACCTGCCCGAATTTTCCTCAATTGGTGACCCCTATTTAACCTAATAATGAGCTACAATGTTTTGCGTTCGCTGGAAAAAAAGGATTGAGTTGAGTTCAACTGAATTTGAGAGAGGAAGAAACCTATTTCTCCCCTATTTCATAGACTGAAACAGCCCTCAAGTGCTAATATTTTCAGAAAAGCTTCGATTTTGATTGAAAAATTCAGCTTGTGTGCTTAAGTGATGCGGGAACATTTTTTCTCCACACATAAAGTATTAAGTAAATAACGTTACTTAGATAAAGAAAGAAAATAAAAACCTCAAAGCAGATATAGGATTGGGTGCATGAAAAGTGCGTAATGACTGAAGGGCGAAAGGTGAATCAAACTTTTATAAAAGCGTAGGGATGCTTGACTAGCTATAAATTATTCTGGTGCTTCCGTTCTGTTAGAAGGAAGAAGACAAAGACAGAAATAAAAGCGTTAAAAGATTTACGCGTTGCCGGAGAGTCTTGTATTACACATGTATCATGTAATTCTTTTGACACCACACGTGCGTGCTACTGTATTATTTTCATGCCTTTTCAAAGTCACTGAGTGACATGGTTTCCTGCCAAAACTGAAAGCGAATGAACACCGTGTACAGCTGAAAGCACACCTATGCCCTACTTTCGGCCCTTCTATGTTACTGTCCGAGTTAGCCAAATGTTTAGCGGCTTTTCGCTAGCCTCTCTACCAGGCTTCAGAGGTGGCTATAAACTGAGCGGCAAATTGTGTTCCTTTATAGGAATTACTTCCCTGGCATGTTATCTGTCAATTTTGTCAATTGCTACTCTTTTCATCCTTCTCTGAAACGCGATAGAGGCTATATTTTCACTAGAAGCTTCTAGCATGACACAGCCAATCAAAGATGCCGTCTCTTCCGGCCTAGGGCGACAGAAAGTCACCAAAATTCATGACTCGTGACGTCATGCTACCGCTGCCAAACGCAAAAATAATGAACAATGTGATTAAAATAAAATTCACTGAACGCTCAATTTCATCACAATGAGATTGAGCGTATTCGACTTCAATATGAATGATATCTTTATTGCAAGTTTATTCCAACAATTCATACGTCAATGCTCGATGCGTCACAATAAACAATTATTCGCTTTCCATTTTTACGTTCTGCTGTGGTCAGTGATCAATGACGATCTCTATCATCATGGCGGAAGGCGGCGGGCCTCCCGAGCCGAAGGTTCAGAAAAGTCAGGTTTCCTCCGATTTAAAGAAGGAGCTGAAAAAGGGAGACACATGGTAAGGAGACAGGAATATATCCTGTCAAATTACAGTAAGATTTTGTCTTTGGGACGTCGTTGTTTTTAGTTACAGCCGAAAATTCCACGGGAGTCCTGAGCATGTCTCAAGTCAAAATGCCGGTTCGAAATGGAAAGTGTACCGGCGGAATTCGACTGCGGGGACATTTTTGCCTAAATTATTTACCTTCATATGATAACATCTCGCTAAGAACAATGTCACGGTAGTCGCAAGGGTATTTTTCTTCATTACGAATGTCTTCAAAGCGATCAAGGCTTGGTTTAGATGGAGGTACTACAAGCATGACAACGTCGGTTTTGGGATCCTTGGAAAACCCGGACGACATACTAAGCCATACGTCACGGAAAAAAGCGGAAATGACTGGTCATAACGCGTCCGTGGGAGGGTTTTGGGGCAGGCAGACGGCTTTGTCACGGACAGTGGAGCGGTCAAGTTCAAGGCGTTGTCATTTTTCCTCACGTCGGTCGGGAGTTTCCTGGTTTCGGGCGTGTTTGTTGCATAACACGTGACACCTACTGTACACCGGTGGCGGTTCACTGCTTTATCTCATTTGCTCCAAGCAGATGTTGGGGGTGAAAGATCGTAAAGTTTGCAGACAGCCAGACTTTTCTTACAACCACATTTCTGAGGATGGTACCCAGGCTAACAATAGGATGGCAGTCAGAAAATCCTGGCTGTCAGAAAAATCCCCTCCCCCCAAGATCCAATTTAGACTAACCTGAAACTGAAAGCCTGTGAGATATGTCCATATGCACAATATCGGTGATAGCAGGGTTGGACAAGTTTTTAAAAATCATCTTGCCCTATTGGGCAAGTACCTGGTCATTTCCGCTTGCCCGAACCAACTTTTTACTTGCCCAAAATATGCATTTTACTAGTAGAAAGGAAATTATTTTATTAATATAGAGTTTATAATGTTGGATGTTTTACATGTTTTTATCAAACTTTGAAACTTGGTCAAAATACTGCAGGGGCTATACTTTGCATTAAAAGAAATTGCTTGCCCAATCGGGCAAGTACAGGGGGATATTCACTTGCCCGAACAGTACTTTTACTTGCCCCGGGCAAGTGGGCAATGGGACTTGTCCAACCCTGGATAGATATCTTTACCAGATATTTTTTCTCGAAAAATTATGAGCACAGCATCTTGGCGTGAAGCCAAATTCAAACAATGACAAGCTAAGTTGCCTTTTTTGACCGTGGACTTATTTTTATCCGGTGTCTAATGACAGGACTGGTTGGCAGGCTTGGGCAATGTAAACATCCTGAAATAGACAATTCTACCAGCATCTTGACTTGTCAAGGAACACAGTGACAACTACACACACAGTCTTAACATTTCAGAATGTGTAGGTGTCACCTTGTGTTCATGTTACATAAGGTCTCCCATGTTGTTCTTGTTGGCACTAGCCCAAAGCATACCACATAATATGCTGCACCTTGCCAACTTTTACAGAATTCTCCTTGCACTGGAATCTGTCCTTACTGAAAAATGTTGTGTAGCAAAAGGACAATGTCATATTCAGGATAAAGAAAGGTTGAAATATTACATGTGTCAGCATATAAATGTACAATAATTTAAAGGTATTTCATATATTCAAGTTAAACCTGTACATAATACTAGTAGTAGTATACATTAGCCCTTCTAAAAGTACAATGTAGTAAAAAACAACACCCTTGTTACTCAGTTGTATCACTATAAAGTACAAAATGTATAATTGTGCAATTGCTCTATCACCATGGCCTGTACCAGTACTGGCAGTAGCTTGTAAAAACATTAAGATCTATCCATCTATAATCCAGGCATATAATGATATATGTATAACTTTTGTCTCTTCACACACAATCACAGGTACCTGGTTGATGCAAAGTGGTTCAAGCAGTGGAAGAAGTATGTTGGCTATGACTCCTGGGATATGTACGGTATGGGTGACCAGGCTACCTTCCCTGGGCCTATCGACAACGCTGCACTCTATAAAGGTTTGTATCTTACACACTTAAGTTAACCTTCAGCTTGCTAAGGTAGCCGTTTGGCACCAAATTTGTATTGGTTATGGGATTGGCAGCAGGGAAAAGGTTAAGTTAGAAACAGTACCTCAAGCAATGGGATATGATTTTGGTTGCTTGAGTAACTGTTTTTTGGCATTATCATATTACCTGGAATAATGCTGAATGCCTAACCTTCACCCACATTAAGTTAAAATGTTGGCTAAGGACAGACCAAGATGGAAGGAACAAGTCATGGCCTTATGTTAATCTCCTAGCAGATCATACGGTGGCTAAGCAGTATTTATTGGCCAGTGGAGTGTCCATTGGCCATTGGTGGCTAATGGACACTCCTCTGGCCGATGGATACTGCCTTGCCACCGTATGATCTGCTTGGAGATTAGCTTTATGTCTCACAAGTGATGAAGTGTATAAGTAAGTAAGTACAAATGTATGTTACAGCAATCCTACCTTGTGGAATGTTCCCACAGATTGAATGATAAGATAGTTATCGTTAGTCTTACTTAGAAGAAATTATGACACCCAAGAGGCCTACTAAAATATACATGAAGAAATGCTTTGGTAGAACCAGCTATAAGGAAATTTTTCAAGAATCAAGATGTTAGAGGTCATCTTTTCCTTGTTTCCTTTTTGCAGTGACTTACGATAACTGAAGAAAATATGTTTGAGTCTGGTTAGAATAACTGGTAAAATGGCTTAACCCCAAGTCTCTTTAAGTACACAGTTGGGTTAAGTCTTATATCTGGCTAATTCCAACTTCCAAGTTTGGTCTAAGATCACTCTCAGTACCAGTCTTCTTGCAGGTTGGCTTCTGACAGGCAACTATTCAGAACCCGAAACATGAGCCATCCTTATGAAGTGAGCTTGAACAGTAATTTCCAACACAGGAAAGTCCACTTACCCACGTATTTTACAGTACAATTTCTTATGTTGGAAATTACAGCATAAACTCACTTCATAATGACTTTTACCGGCACAGATGAACTTTCAACACGAGCTATCTTTACTGGTGCTGATTAGTGTAGCGTGTAGACTTCTGTAATCTGTGTCCAAATTTAGTGGTGCCTGAGGCTGGATGTGAACTCCATGACGAAGAGATGACACTTCCTCAGAAGTAACAAGAGCCAGCTGGCTGGCTATGTTAGTTTGTCAACTACTAATTAGACTCAACTCAAGTACTTCGTCTGTGTAATAATTTTCTCTAAATATTACATTTTGAAGGATGTTCTTTTTCTGGAACTGGCATGCCAAAGCATTCAAGTTTTGTTGTGTTGATGGCAAATAAATTTCGTATGTGATAAAAATTTGATCACACTGTCACTTGGACACTGTAGGCCCAATAAAGCTACATATACATGTAGTAGCACTTGAAGCCTAGCTTCACAAGGTAAGGTTTATTTATGTTTTTGTCATTCCAGTCATGTAAACTCTTGTATCTTGTTAAATTTTGTCTGATCTTGTCCTCTTCTCTCATGATGCCAATAAAAAGTGCCTGGCTTTGAATAATTCATGAATGAACAGAGGCTCAAACAAACAAACAAAATCCTTATGCCAAAAAAAAAAAATTAATGTCACTCAAGCAACTTGATTTGATTTTGGAAACAGTCAAACGTCAGTGACAAAACAAAATCCTTCCATGTTGTTACAGATCCTCAGACCCCTGACTCACAACACCTGAAGATAGATGAGCTGGACTAATGTGTTATCTGTTCAGTAGTTAAAATAGAAAATGTGTGAATGTTGATAATATGTTATTAATGTTAATAATATTGTTCTTACAGATCCCCTCATCTGATAGATGAGCTGGACTAAATGTGTTATCAGTATACGTAGTTAAAACAGAAAACATTCTGCTATTGCAGATATGCAGACCCCAGATTCCCAACACCTGAAATAAAACCTAGGTAGCATTGTCAGTTGAATATTTGTATTTGTATATCTCAGCAAGAAATCCTTCCATGTTATCATGAAAGTTCATCTGTGTTGGTAGTTATATGTTAGAGTTAAACATCGTCTACCAGATACCTTTCACCTAGTGTTGATGTCACACTTCAAAGAAGCTATGTGAAAAGTCTACTGAGGAAGACCAGAGTGACAATGGCTACCAGAGTGACTGGTCGAAAGCTCTAGGTGAGAGAACTTTTTTGTGTTGGTTAAAAAGTTTTAATTCCAAACATACTTCTGTGTTCTTACAGATCCGCAGACCCCCGACTCCCGGCACCTGAAGGAGCACCTGATTGATGAGCTGGACTACATGCTCCTGCCGACCGAGGCCTGGGACAAACTGGTCAGCTGGTACGGCATGGTCAACGGTCAGCAGCCCATCGCTCGCAAGGTAAGCATAGTTCTCACAAGGCTGTTCGAGTGTAGGGACCCCCTATGCTGTGACTTTGACCCCCTACACTGTGATTTAGCCCCCTACCCTAGGCCTGGTATTGCATGGTCAACGGTCAGCTGCCCATAGCTCACAAGGTAAGTATGCATCAGAGGGATTTTCTGATGTTGTATAGTACTAGAAATAGTACAGTTTAAAATTTCCAAACAACCTTAACTGATGTCTTTTCCAGCTTATGTGTTCTTCAATGGTGTGTTTTCTTCTTTTGCTTGCATAGTATACCATCTCATGATAATGTATACAAGAGTTCTATTCACACTGTCATTTCAGTAAAGGAACTAAGCCATAATGATGTGTTCTGCACTTGTTGAAACAGCCCCTGGCTGCAGTCTTTCTTCATTTTACTCCACAGTGTTTTCTCTGCGAGTAGCCTTGGCTCTCTCAGAGCTTCTTGACAGTTCTTACAGGCTTCCCATTCCTTTGTTGTTGAGGTCTGTCTTCAGGATGCTCAGTTGTAGGCATAATGGCACCATGTATGCATGTACAATGTGTCAAGCATGTTTTTTTTTTGTTTCTCAGGTTGTAGAACATGGGATGTTTGTGAAACACTGTAAGGTGGAGGTTTATCTGATGGAACTGAAGCTGTGTCAGAACGACAACTTAGACAACTGTGTGTCCCAACAGTTCAGCAAGGCAGACACCATCGGTGAGGACATGTTTGTTTGTTTGTTTGTTTGGTTGGTTGAACACAGTACACTGTATAGGATAAAGGTGAGTTACAGAGAATCCTGAGCTCCTATTGGACTGATTTTCAGAATGTTTCAAGTTAAAACTTTTGATCCAACACAGCAAAGTTCTCTCACCTAGAGCTTCAGACCAGTCACTCTGGTCTTCCTCAGTAGACTGACCCAGTGAGGCTTGTCACATGGCTTCTTTGAAGTATGACGTCAACCTTTCATAGCGATAAAGAATCCTGATCTACTATTGGTAGTTCTTGGAATGGTTCTCTCAAATTAGAGCTGTATGGCCCATAACTTGGCATAAGCTCTTGGGGAGGAGTCCCAATCAGCCCCTGACAGTGAGAGATTGTGTAACACAGGCTAGCGTACCACTTACACTGTTAGGGCATCTAAACAAATGTTAGCACTGCCATTAATAGCACCTTGCTCCTCCCTCCATCTAGACCCCATGTAGTGTTCTTTACATGTGGTAAGAATTTGTCAGGAAGGAATTAAGAAACAAGTACACTTCACTTGGTACAAAATGTACCACTGTCTCACAAACTACTAGTAATACTGTTGAGTGTTGAGTATGGGGAGAGAAACAAAGTTGAGGCATTTTCTATCACATTCTATATAAAGTACCTGTCTTATATCAATCATACCATTAAGGAAGGCTAGTTGGAATTCCAAAGAAGACTGTGTTTTCATTGTCACTGCTGCATATACAATGTAATATAGGCAGTTAAGTCTCCTAGGCGTCTGATATATTGTCATGTTTGACTTAAAATTACTGCCAGAGTGACTCATACTCATGTACATGTAACATGATTTTTGTGACTTTGCATATTATATTCAGTTTGGCATGAATATTTGATAAAAGTGGCTTAACAAACATCCATGATGAAGCTTATATGTCAAAGTTATATTAACCAGCCTGGGGACCTGAATGTTCGTTTTCTTATGTAATTGTAGACTTCATGATCTGTTTTCACAGCCCTTTGAATAAGTGTAACTATAAATATCAAGATGTATCGTACATGTAGCATGCAAATTTAATTTGCTCTTTAGTTTACTTGTGTCATTATTGTTTTATGGTTATACTGTAAATTATTCCATATATCTTGATGATATAACAATAACCTTTATTGTACATTCATGCCCTATTGGGCTAAGTACAGATACACAAATACATAAGTGCAACATGTAGCACATGTATCGTGTAGGCTAGTGAAATATAAGAGAAATATTGACAATGGTTTCTGAATAGTATTAGTGTTATCTGTACATCCTACATTTTGTGAGTTCTGAGTGGTGCAGGTAAAAATTGTCTGGTGCACCTTACCAGCATCAGTTCAGAAAAAGCCATTTTGAGCCCTGAATGGTGACCCAACTGTTTTCTTCTATATTTTGCAGACTACATAGAGAAGGAGATGCGAAAGCTGTTTGCGATCGGAGAAGACAAGGAGACGAGAGTGTGGAACAAGTACATGTCCAACACCTACGAGCACCTGAACAAACCGGAGAACACTGTACAGGATGCAGGACTGTACCAGGGACAGGTATGTACTGTTATAGTTGACAGTATATTACCAATTATTTCTCCTCATTACACTACATCAGGGCTCAAAATACCACCAGGTCCTGTATATGCAGGTTATTACAGATAAAATTGGACTTTTTTTATGTCTACAAGCACCAAACCTGCACTGCTCTACAGAAAAGGTATTTTGAACCCCGACATTCATTTTCTTTGTTGTTTACGCTCTTTAGAAAGTTAAGTTATAACTTTGTTATCTCTAACATTACAGATTCTGGTGATAGAGCAGCAAAATGAAGATGGAACATGGCCCAGAGGGAATGTAACCAATAAAAGGTGAGTATGAAACAAAGCAATAAGACTACATTCAAGATCAATCTCTCTCTCTCACTCACTCACTCACTCCCTCACTCACTCACTCACTCACTCACTCACTCACTCACTCACTCACTCACTCACTCACTCACTCACTCACTCACTCACTCACTCACTCACACTCACTGTCCGGTTTATCGTCTGTTGTTCCCCGTCTTCCGAGGGTTAGATGTGCTTGCACTATACATCTGGGGCTTACTATCTTACATTTATGATGAGTAGTATTATCGATAATAGTATAAGAGTAACAGTATCATCATGTATGGATGATTGGTCTCAGTTTTGGAATTGAAGTAGAAAGATACAGGCCAGTATGTAGGCAGATATAGAATCTGGACAGTTTATGATGACATTTTCCATTTTTTTTTCTTCAGTTCCAGCTCCAGCAGTGCCAGAAACATGGAGATGGGCACCTACTCCGCACCTGCAACTAGAAGGTGGGGAGGGTTCTGTCATTTCTGTCATGTCACTCTGGTCTCCGTGTGTTGCTGTTCTTTTGTCTTTTTCAGTTGCCTTTGCAAAGTTTTCCCTTACTTTCTACACAATTGTGACAAACAGCTTTGCCACGAAAATTGCTACTGTCTTACTGTTAGTCTTAGTTTTGCATTTCTGCTTTTTTGCTGTTTTATTTTTATTCCCTTTTGGAGATCTTTTCTGGCTTGTGTATATTTTCTTTCAATGCTCCTGTTTAGGTTTAGATGAGAGTGCTGTGGTGGAATTAAAATGTTATACTGGTACTCTTCTATGGCCTACAAAACAACTAGCAACAAGAGTCACCTGGAATCAGTACTTCTGAAAACTAAGTTAATTTTGGACCCAAATAAAGTCAAAATAATTCCAGTCAGATGCACAGTAGCATACATGATGTAGCCTGGTGTTTAAACCTATTCTAGCAGCCATAGTCTTTCATCTATTTACTGAGAGGATGAAAGAGACTCGGCAGTTAAATAGGTGTATTTATTTTATTTTATTCAGGCACATAGATTTGATAGATAAAAGATCTATTACATAACACATAAAACATAAAGAACATAATCACAAAATTGGGGTAACAAATACAAAATGTACAGTGGACATAAAATGAAAATGGCTAGCACACCAATAGAACCTATAACGTTAATGATAGATTTGGGCACCAGGCTACACACATTGTTACTTCATAAGCTCCCAGCCTAAGCCTGAGTCTTAATTATTCTGCCCCACCAGTGGAGAGGACAGTGAGGATAACGAGAACGAAGCCGGAAGCTCTAACGAGCCGACGCCCACAATCGGCACCCCCAAGTCTTCACCATATATCAAGTATAACATGCGATACGTGTGTCCCTAACAATGCAAGGATGACGTGATTTCACCAGCAATTTAGACTTACACATAGCATGTGCCCTCAAGTCCCTGTCCTAGCATAGCACGTTGGCAAAACGTACTGCACCTGTGCGAAACCCTGATTTTTCATGGCTTTTGTTGGATAGTTGATCACCGTTGCATCAGAATTTTGCCTTTTGCAGAGGATATCTTTTCCAACACAACATTTGGAAACTACCGATGGGTTGTTGACCTTATGTGCGTGAATATGGCCTTATATGAGACGTTCTGCCAATAAGCAATGCACAGTACATTACAGGTTTCGCGCACTGGTGCAGTACGTTCTGCCAACATGCTTCCTAGCATGGTCACAGTGTGTCCCAGAACTAAACATGACTGTGTGAACATGTAGAGACAACCTCAGCCTCAACTACAATACATGTATCGAACAGTGTGATTGTCCCTGGGTTTATTTCACAATGGAAAGCTTTAAGGCTATTCCTAGTTGTGATATTGATAATGTTCTGCTCTTATACAGTATAGGAACTGCATTCTTCTGTCCTGTTTATTTTCCATTAACTTGTAATGCTCTGCTTCTGTTCTTTTGCTCTGTCTAGTCTGTGTTGATGTGATAAACATTTTTCTTTGCAAGTTTTGTGTGGCATGTAATGTGTGTGTCTTATTGTAACTTCTGTCTTAATGTAACCCCTTGTTTGAAGGCTGCATAATTTACTGACCATGTTTTCACAGTTAGTAGAATATTCCTCAATCAGTGACGTTTTTATATCTGAGGTAAAAACACGTATCTCCAAATTTTCGATGTCTACTGTACATCTTGATCACGGAGTGACCTAGTCTTGCGAGAACTTGAGACTAGGTCGAGACTTGTCCAGATCTTCTGGGGTAAGAAAATTTGCAGGTACGTGTTTTTACCTTTATAAAAGTGTCACTGATTGAGGAATATTCTACTAACTGTGATACACATGTGACGGATGAATCTCTTCAACGATGTCTGTGTTTTCTCTGTGTTTTGTGGTGTTCACAGTGTGTTGTTCTCCCCCCATTCCAGTAGCTACAGCAGTACGTATGACTACAGCTCAGAGAGAGGGAGGGGCCAGGTACAGCCCGGACTGTGTGGACTCAGTAACCTAGGCAACACGTGCTTCATGAACTCAGCTTTACAAGTGAGTAGAATAAAATGGACTTTTTATTTTATTAGAATACAGTTAAACTTGTACAAATTACCTAAAGATATGCTACATCAATAGTATACGTAACATTACTTTTATAAATATAATTGTGAGGATTTTCATAAATTACATCTTATATCATCTTTTGCATTTTCCAGTGTTTGAGCAATGTACCAGTTCTCACAAGATACTTTCTAGGTGAGTACAACTAGTGTGTATTACTCTCCCCTCTAGGAACTAAACTACAGTTAAAATAACATTTTACACATTGGCAAATTAGCAATCAGTATGTATGTTGCTGTAGAATTGATGATTGGAGAAAATCTATTGTTTGCTTTTTCGGTTGTTTTTTTACAAGTTGTAACCAAAGTTAACATTTTCTTCTCCTTACAGAAAACCACTACCAGGAAGAACTGAACTCAGACAACCCACTGGGGATGAAGGGGGAGATAGCCAAGACTTATGCAGAGCTTATCAAACAAATCTGGTCGGGCAAATATAGTTACACCATACCAAGGAACTTTAAGGTAGGAACCAGTGTGCTTTGTAAGTTTGTATTTGTGTATTTTATGTAGTCAAAAGAGAGGAATGATCACTGTAAAAAAAATCGACTTCAACGTGTCAGCCAATTTTGGTGACCGTCTGTCACCTTCCTCAGGGCAATTCTGACTGGTTCACATTGCACTGCAGCACAGGTGTCGCTGATACAGCAGTCAGAATTGCCCTGAGGAAGGTGACAGATGGTCACCGAAACGTCAGTTGAGTAAAAGACTCGGCATCTTGTTTTATTTTCTCTCTTTCCAGACGGCAGTCGGTCGCTTCGCCCCCCAGTTCTCAGGTTACCAGCAGCAGGACTCCCATGAGCTGCTGGCCTTCCTGCTGGACGGTCTGCACGAGGATCTGAACCGGATCCGCAAGAAACCCTACGTGGAGCTCAGGGACGCTGACGGCAGGCCGGATGAGGTCAGTTTTGTCTCTTTAACATGTAACATCCATAGCAGGCTGCATTTCACAATACAGACAGCAGATGGCTGTTTTTTGATGCAAGAATGCACCTTATGCAGCAAGTTTAAACTGTAATTTCCAACACAAGAAATGGGACTCACCCAAATTTTCGACTGTACAACTGCAGGTCTTTGTCGAGGAATGAAACCAACACAGATGAACTTTCAAGATAAGAATGCCCCTGTTTTCTTATGGCATATCAATATCAATACGGCATGTCAATACACATGATATGCCATAACAAGGAAAAGGATTCTATTCAGTCAAATGTCAAAATCGTTGTTCTGTTATTTTCCAGGAAGTAGCGGACGAGGCGTGGAAGAACCACCGTCTGCGGAACGACTCGATCATCGTGGACACGTTCCACGGCCTGTTCAAGTCCACGCTGGTCTGCCCCGAGTGCTCCAAGATATCCATAACCTTCGACCCCTTCTGCTACCTGTCCCTGCCGCTGCCCATCAAGAAGGAGCGGTTCATCGAGGTGGTTCTGATCAGGATGGACCCTGCCGCTAAACCTATGCAGGTAAAACATCCCCTAACTCATCACTCATCTTACATCTTACCCTAACTTCATCCTTACTAACACTAACACTAACACATCGAAGTGGTTCTGATCAGGATGGACCCTGCCACTAAACCTATGCAGGTGCATGGCTTAAATGTTTTACCTGCACTTTCCATTTCAGTTCATGAAAAAATTGTTAAAATGTTCATAGCAGAACCATTTAAACCGTTACGAAGACAGTATGTACTTGAGAAAAAAGGTCAGATGAAAATTCATTGTCAACCTAATTTCTTAAGATTGTATCCAGTTACTTTCCTATCTCATCACCTGGATGCCTGCCCTTCATCAGCATAATTTGTTTTTGTTGTGTTTCCCTGCAGTACAAGTTATCTGTTCCAAAGATGGGAACCGTACAGGACCTGTGTGAAGCTCTGTCCAGGCTCACCAAAATATCTCCAGACAAGGTAAGATACCCTTCACTGTACCCTTCCTTTAGCCTGCTAAGGTAGCCTTTTGGCAGCAAGTTTGTATTGGTTATTGGAGATTTAACTTGATCTTTATCTGTGAAAGCAGATGCTGATGCTACCAAAAACACGCCATGAAATATATCCAGTTGCTTGAATCATATTTTGCATTATGTAATATAATGTTGTTACGAAAATGGCTTCATCAGGTTGGTAAAGTATAGGATACAAGAGTTTTCTTTTACACAACCAAACTATTTACCTTGCTGACGACATCGGCTACATATAGCAAGCGGCGAGAAGCAGAACTCCAGTCAGAAGCTCTGAGGAAGGTGTCTGATAGACACCGAAACGTCAACAAGTTTGGTTGTATAAAAGAAAACTCTTGTATCCAATGTTCTAGTCTGTTTTTTAACCATTTGCCACCCTGCTCCCCCCCAGATGGTGGTGACAGATGTGTACAACCATCGGTTCCACAAGGTGTTTGCCCCTGATGAAGGACTGTCCCACATCCTGGATAGGGATGACATCTATGTGTGAGTACAATGTACACACTCGGATTTATTTTACTGTGCTATCTTTCTTCAGTGATTGCGTAGTGTGTGTAGTCCAGTAGTGGGTGACCCTGCCTCTGGACCAAGAGGTTGGGAGTTTGAATCCCGGCTGTTGTCGCTCACCTGACATGCTTGCTACTGGAAAGAGTGTCAGTCCTGAGGACGGGACGTTAAGGCGTGGTCCACAATTCATTGTGCTTGTCGAAAAGAGCTAGGGGAATTTTCCTGGTACCATGTGCCTGTAAATACTGCATATAGCGCCTGTCTTCTCTGTCACAACCAGTGGAAGATTAGCTCTTCAGAGATTCTTAAAACTGGATCGAGAGTACTTTTTTTTTTAAACTTAAAGGTTAATCTTCAAGCAGATCCTTTGGTGGCAAGGCAGTATCCAAAAGGCCAGGCAGTGCCCAACCTTGGATCTGCTTGGAGATTAGTTCTAGTTGGCAAAGTTGTTATGATTGTTGAACAAATCTGAGTGTGATAATACACATGTGTAGAACTGTGTTTGATCTGTCCTTCCTGTCTGTAGGTACGAGGTACCAGTCAACACCTGTGACGATCCAGACACCCTCATCCTCCCTGTGTACATGAGGGAAAGAAAGTAAGTCGTGATAAAACTGTCAAGTTGTTATTCATTCTGCTTAGTTAATACACTAAAGTTACAGCATTGTTCTTCAGCCTGAGGGTAGACCAAGACAGATTAGGGGTGGATGATTTTGTTGGTGCATTTTTCTGTTGTTGTACAGAATCGCCATTTTTCTGACCTAAAAAATTAGATTATCTCTTCCAAATTCTTTTTGAAATTATTTTTTTATACATTTCTATACAACAGTCACCAATGGAAGATCAGTCCTAGACTAACCTTTTGTAGCTCACACTATTGTTATTCTTTTCTTTGTCATCTAGAATATGACGCTACTCTACAACTTAGAAAAACATAAAGAAAGGAAAAGGCAAACATTAATTAAGCTCGGAGAATTTCCCCAAAACAATTGAATGAACCTTTTTTTTACATCCATCCGTAAATACTTTCATGTCTTTTTACATCCATCTCTAAATACTTAAATTGATGTTTTTTTAGAGTGTTTGTGTAACATTGTGGGTTATGAGCTACTGAGCCTGAAATGAACAATGAACATTAACTTCATCCCTACTTGTTTCTGTTGCAGAGTAAGACAAAACCCTTCCTATAACTACAACAACGTGAGCACGGTGCTGTTCGGCACGCCGCTGCTGGTCCCCATCCCTCGCAAAAACACCACCTACGAGGACCTCTACAGAATCATGATCCAGAAAATGAGGTCAGCTTGGACTTGGTCTTTAACAATCTTAGATCTTAAATCTTCTGCTTATGATTTTTGTGTCAAAGATACAATGTGATACCAGTGCAAACCTCAACAGTATTTTACAGGTACTGTATAAGGTGCATGTGGTTGCAATGATGATTGTGATGAAACTGTGATGGGTAAGAGTGACGGGTATCATTTTAACTTGTGTAGTCCTGTGCTTAGCAACCTTACCAAGAGGTTGTGAGTTCAAATCCCAGCTGTTGTTGCCCACCTGCATGCTACTGGAAATGGTCCCAGTCTTTAATCCGTGGTCCACTGTTCATTGTGCTTGTCAAAGAGAGCTAAGGGAATTTTCCTGGTAGAACGAACCCGTAAAACGGTACTGTACATACCAGATGTCTTCTCTGTCACAACCAGTGAAAGAGCACAGTTGCTCTTCAGTGATCCAAACTGGATGAAGATCACTATTATATTTTATAATATTATATATTCCCCTTTTTTCATCTCTCTCCAGCCGGTACATCCAGGAGCCAGACAGTGGAGATGAGTGGTACGGGGAGGAGATCAAAAACTGTGTCAAGGACGGGGTCATAGGTCAGTGGAACATACCACTCACTCACCATACATGTAATGTTACATTTGATGAGTTGGTCAACTTTTCCTGTGGAGAAAGCCGTAAGAATTGTCTTGATGAGATGAACAGAACTAAATTACAGTAACTTTTAATTTACCAACTGCAAAAGAAACAGCTGCTGTTACTGTGTTAGTGTAAGGGGCATTTATGTGATTCTGTTACAGCACTAGTTTGCTGTTATATTGCTGTAGTGCAGCCAGCATTGTATGCATTATTTGTAATGTTAAGCAAGATGTTTCCCTGGCACTTCTTACACTACATTTTGATGCAATCATGCAATAGTGTTCCCTTCTCCATTTCTTATTAAACTCTAAACTTGGAGTCTGGGTACTCAGCAAGATTCATGTGTTATGAACATGTCTGCCTTATTCAGTGACCAACCAGTGAATGTCATGTACATTATTTTGTACATTATGTAAACTTGCTGACGTAAGTGATGCTGCACATATGCTCTGCACACAACTTTACCAAATGCAAATTACATAAAATTTCTTGCTGACTGTAATTAAAATTAACTCAACCCACAATTAATAGACCCAAGAGCTCAATATATATCTTGCAATTACATCACTCTATGGTGTAACGTGTGGAGGCTCTTGGTACTTGACACAAATGGTTCAAATCTTACAGTCTGGTCTTACACAGCCTGTACATGCTTTACAAAACTGGCGGGCTTGTTGAATTTGGTTTACAAAACAAAACAAAAGCAAAACAAATAAAACTTTATTGCACAACAATTGCACAATAAAAACAAGACAAGTTGGTCACTGAAAAAGCTGACGTGCGATGACCAAGTTCTTGTGAGGACTTTGACTCCAGGTAGAGAGTTTAATGAGAATTGTCTGTTCCCCAGAGTCCAGCGTCAACATCCATTCTCTCAGCCCCTACTCCTTTTCATGTCATTTTTCCCTTTTTGTACCAGGTAAACATGTTCACAATGTTGTGTGGCTGAAGCATGGTACAGCTAACTCAGGAATAACCCATATAGATTTACATGGATTACATTAAAAAAAATTTTATGCAGTGACTTTGGAGCAGCTCACCTCTTGAATCTGCCTAACAGTCTTTGAAGTTTTCAAAGAAATTAATGGAATTACCAGGGTAAACTAAACCAGAGTGGTGTTACTGTGTTAGACTATAGTATAGTATGTGATACCCTGCATCAATTCAGCCGTATACAGGCTGCGACTGCACGGGTACTGTTTGGACAATAAAAAAACCATTTATTTAAAAAAAAACATTTATTTATTTAGTATAAGACTTAGTGATACAAAAAATATTTATTTCATCAAAATTCAACATAATTCTAAGGCTGGAAAATGGGAAACACAAAGATACATCCTTGACAGAATTCCATCTTTGCTAAGTCAGCACTATTTTTGATTTGAGAAACTTTTAAAAGTACAGTATACCTGTAGGCTTCTGGAGGTTTGTTTATTCGTATCATCATTGACCACATGTTACTTTGTCAAATTGTACAGGTACAAGTTACTGCAACACAGATCAATGTACATGTAGAGGAGCTGACTAATCTGTTATGCCTTAGAAGAAGTAGGTGTTTACCTATTGTTTGTTGTTCCCCAGGAGATGATGACATGAAGAATGATAACCTAGACGGGGAGGGTTAGGGTAAGGGTTAGTGTTAGGGTTAGTGTGTAGGATGTACAGGTGTTGATGTACAGTGTGTTGTTCCCCAGGAGATGATGACATGAAGAACGACAACCTAGACGGGGAGGCGGAGTCTGAGGAGGACAGTTGCCAGGGCAACGAGTCGCTCATGAACGACAACAGCATGTCTGATGACGAGGTCAACTGTGATAACAGGTCAGACTTCTTAGAGTTCTGGGATCATCTGATAGTATACATCTTCTATGTTATGATCAGAAAAGACAAGAAGTAGTCATACCTTTAGAGTACCAAGGATTGAGGTGTTCAAAAATTCAACTGTTGCAGAGTGGAGCTCACTGTCACCAAGTACAGTAGGGGTATTATAATTAGATAGCTTTCAACAATGTTAAGAGTTAGATGTTCAAGGGTTAGGTGTAACAAGTTCGGTGTATTGTAGCCAGCTGCTGCCGAGCTGCGTGCCTTTGAGTCTGGTGGATTATATCGATACAGATCCAGATCTTGCACCCTAACCCTTTGCCTTTATATGTACCTCTTTTATGTTATGACCTTGCACTCTGACCTTTTGCCTTTGATTTCTTCTGTGTCATGACCTTGCACTCTGACCTTTTACCTTCGCCCCAGGCCACACAGGATGTTCACCTTTCACCTGGTGAACTCGTACGGCAGTGCGGAGATAGAACATATACGTGATGACGACAGGCCCATCAAGTTTACAAGTAAGGCACTTCCAGAGAGATACATGTAGTCTTCACACCCTCAAAAAACAACAAAGTTTCAGTTTCTTACACCTCTCAAATTTCAGTAAAATATTGCAGGAAAACAATGTGTTTTTGTAGTCATCAACTGTGGTCTGTATCTGTTGTAGATTCCAGTGTACACACACCAATTCCTCTGCAGCAGGGGTCCATCGTAGTGTGGCTCAAAAATGTTACAAAAACACTCTATCTAAATTATTTCCCTGACGTTTTTCTTACTGAAATTTGAGAGGTTTAAGAAACTGAAACTGTTGTTTTTATATATAGCAATAGAGATATCATTAAATCCCCTACTTGAGAATGTGCAGTATCAAATTGAGACCCAAAAGAAACTAGGGTGTTTTCCCTTAATGTGCATGTAAGATGCACATGATGGATGTAAGGGATCTTCACCAGAGCACCTTTATGTCAATGCCACTTTAATAAGGGATCTTTACCAGTGTACCTGTTCCACTTGTGTTTCAGATCGTTCCTATTTAGCCCTTGACTGGGACCCCAAAGCCAAGGAGAAATACTACGATGAGAAGCAAGCAGAGGTAAGGATGGCCAATTTTTGTCAGATTGCAGAGATATTCCATAGTATAGCCACAAATCTGTTTGCTTACATGCTTGTTTGTCTTGTTTGTTTGTTTACTTCAGGAGTTGGATGTAGATGAGATAATGTTTGTTTGTTAAACTTTGTTAACTTCAGGAGTTAGATGTTGACGAGACGGTAAACGCCACCCCCATGAGGAAACGTCAGGTGATCAGTCTGAAGGACTGCATCCAGCTCTTCCTGGTCAAGGAAAAACTCGGGGCAGACGACCCATGGTGAGTTTGGAAACAGCACGTCAGCAGAACGTACTGTTTCTGTGAAAAAGCCTGATTTTTCACGGTTTTCCTTGGATTTTTGGTCAATGTTGCATCAGAATTTTGCCTGTTGCAGAGGATATTTTTTTTTTTGACTTAACATTTGGAAACTACAGACGAGATGTTAACCTTATATGCATGAATACAACCTTATACAAGACGTTCTGCTGAAGTGCTATGCATAACACATTATGTGTTTCGCACAGGTGCAGTACGTTCTGGTGTGCTAGTGGAAACCTGCTTGTACAGTCTCAGGCACTATCCAGTGTATTAAAACTTTATTGTAATGACCCGTGGTGAGTGTGGATCTCAGGCTGGGGTAGACTATCTGTCGTAATCTGCATAATGTTATTCTGATGGCCCATGATGAGTTGATACCCTGCAGCCTTAGACAGGGATAGACTACTAGTATCTGTGGCAAGGTGGTCTGTGGTTAGAATTGTTAACTCTAACCACAGTCCTAAAGGTTCTGGGTTCAAATCCATTGCAGGCCCCAATGTTGTGTCCTTTAGAAGGCACGTCACGCTCGACTCGTGAAAATTGCTAGTACCTAGATTCGGTTCGAGTTGTCTTCTTGGATGGGATTTAAAGCTGCACCTTGAAGAACACACTGCACAAAAAGAGTATGGGCGCTTACTACTAGTACTGTGACTGTACTGTGGATCGAACCTTACAGTCCAGTCTTCACAGTTTTGTACTGTAAGTACAAGTTGTGTGTTTTATGCTGAAGAACTGTGGTTTTTGTTCTAGGTACATGTACTGTCCCAGCTGTATGAAACATACATAGGAAATAAGGAAGTTTTTCAGAACTGTTTTTTGTTCCAGGTACTGTCCGAGCTGTAAGAAGCACCAGCAGGCCACTAAGAAGTTTGACCTGTGGTCCCTCCCGAAGATCCTGGTCATTCACCTGAAACGTTTCTCCTACAACCGCTACTGGAGGGACAAACTGGACACCATGGTCGAGTTTCCTACCAGGTCAGTATTAGTTTAACTCTAACCCTGACCCTGACCCTACAACCGCTACTGGAGGGACAAACTGGACACTATGGTCGAATTTCCTACCAGGTCAGTATTAGTTTAACTCTAACCCTAACCCCTTACCCTGACCCAACTTAGACGCTAACCCTAACCCTACAACCGCTACTGGAGGGACAAACTGGACACCATGGTCGAGTTTCCAACCAGGTCAGTACCAGTTTAACTCTACCCTGACCCAACCCAAACCCAGGCCCTGACCCTAACACTGACCCTGACCCTAACCCTGACCCTAAATGTACAACTGCTACTGGAGGAACAAACTGGACACCATGGTCGAGTTTCCAACCAGGTCAGTACCAGTTTAACTCTACCCTGACCCAACCCAAACCCAGGCCCTGACCCTAACACTGACCCTGACCCTAACCCTGACCCTAACCCTGACCCTCTACTGGAGGGACAAACTGGACACTATGGTCGAGTTTCGTACTAGGTAAGTTTTAGTATTCCTTTGTGACAGCTCCAAGAAAGTCTACATGTATTCTGAGCACATGCTATAGGGTAGACTTACAATACTGATGCAACATTCGATAAAATTCAAAAGCAGAAAAAATTACACATTCCGTATCCAATTTATTCATTACTTAGCCCACTACAATGTTAGAGACTTCTTAAATTTTGTAGATTGAAACTTTAGTCATTATGCTTTTTAAAAAATGTTGAGTAGGCAACATCGAATTAATAATTGTATTGTACAGTGAAATGTAACTTTTAACTCAAATGCAGTCAAATGAAATTTCTGTTTTCGCACACTTAACCTTTGACCCTCCTTTGTTCCCACAGAGACCTGGACATGTCAGAGTTCATCATCAATGACGGGCATGGCTACGCGACCTATGACCTCATAGGAGTGTCCAACCACTATGGAGGCATGGGAGGGGGGCACTGTAAGTATGATGGATTCTGGAGTGCAATACATTTCCTTCTGTCTTTCTCTCTATTTTGTAGGGATGAGATGTTACGCTGATTCCAAAATGTGAGTTTCTCAAGATTAGTTTAAGGCACAGCAACAACAACCATATCATCTGTTTTAGACTGTGAGACTGTAGTTTAAATGCATGACATTGTATTCCTTTCTCTTTTGTCATTCTCAACTGAGGTGAAGCAAATACAACTTATGCAGCCTTGCCATGGCTCGCGTTTTAAGCCAAGCACACCTGGTCACCCCAACTCTTCTCGAAGTGTATGTACTTCAATGTGCAGAGCTCTAATGTCATAAGCCCCCTCATACATGTATTCCCTAGTTCATATGTGTTTGCTATCTCCCCACCCCCAGACACAGCCTATGGTAAGAGCAGGGAGGACCATCAGTGGTACACCCAGAGACAGCCTACATGTATATTCCCTGGTTAACATGTGTTTGCTATCCCCCAGACACAGCCTATGGTAAGAGCAGGGAGGACCATCAGTGGTACTACTTTGATGACAGCAGCGTTTCTCCTGCCTCGGAAGACCAGTGTGTGGTGAGTTCACTAAAACCTATTCCTATATAGCAAGTATACATTGTGTGCTTTATGTCCTTGGTCTTTAGTGGGATGATTGTCATAGTTAGCTATAGATCCTAGTGCCGTACTTGGTGAAAAATAAATGATCTTTGCCTCTTGTGCTTGCTTTCCAATAAGTTTGATGTAGTTTACATGAGTCATTCCCTGTCCTTGGTGCTGAACAATGTGTTTTGGTAACTCTCCTTGGTGCTGAATGACATTCACATAATGTGGCATCTGGTTCATATTGAATTTTGCAAATTTCAGCTCCAGTAACCCTTTTATTTTCAACCTTCTTATTCAGACACTGGCTACCTGCTAACCTCTCTAACCCTCCTGTGTTTTACCCTCCCCAGTCCAAAGCGGCGTACGTGCTGTTCTATGAGCTGAAGGGCTCAAGATGCGAGCGCAGCGAGAAGCAGACGGCGCAGGCCAACCGGAAATCCGCCGCCGCCACACAGTCCTCCGCGAACTGCACCGAGGACAACGGAACAACCAGCAGCGGGGAGGACGACTCCATGGAGATCAACTGACCTTTCACCCTCTGACCTTTCAACTCTGCCCCCTGAACTTTGACTCCTGCACGGAAGACAACAGAACAACCAACAGTTGTACAGGACAACTCCATGGAGATCAACTGAACACTGTCTGACCTTTCAACTCTGACCCTCAACTCTGACTCCCTGATCTCTGACCCCCTGATCTCTGACCCCTGAACTCTGACTCCTTACTTTTACTTAGTACAGACCTGTGCTGGTCTCATGACTGTGGGATTGATTAAAAAATAACGGCATCGTCACCTATAATGTCATTGGATGCCGGTCATGTGATGACCCTCTGATGAACCCTGATTGGTTGAATCAGGTCACGTGATTAAGGTTTGAAAATGTGTATACTATACTGTACTACTACTATTTCCATATGAGTACTGATGATGTAAAAGTGTATGCTGCTAGCTGCTGCTTTGGCACTACAGAGCCACAGTGACATGTTTTATTATTATTATTACAACTACTTCTCTTCTACGCACAGTTTTCAGGAAGCTGTAGTAAAAGATCTCTCCTATAAAGGCTGGTTTAGAAACTAGTGGCAATTATACTACATACATGTACATTGTACACCTCACACTCACTCACCCACACAAGCATAGCCCAAGATTTTACCCTATTCTTAAGTACTCTCTGTGGAGAGGTTTACACGCTTTTGGGCCAGAAAATGATGACAAAAATCAGCAGCTTTTTTAAATAAGTTTCATCGGTTGGAAAATTCTCTATCCCTCGCCAGATGTATTATTGTTTCTGTATTATTAAAAGAGTTGAAAACACCGTAACTTGTGTCCGTGCAATACTATCGTAAGTCAGAGACCCTGACGTGACTGCAGGCCATTTTGATAACTAACGTCTCTACAACCACTTGATTCTTAAGAATGTTACTTTCCCTCTTTGGATCTGAAATAAAAGATAGGCAGATTTTTATTTCTTACACGAAACCAAATTTGCCCAGTTAGTAGAATGTTCCTCGATCAGTGACTGTTTTTGAAAGTTAGAAACACGTACCTCCAAATTTCGATGTTCACTGTACATCTTGATCACGGGTGTACGTGTTTCTACCTTTGTTTCAAAAACAGTCACTGATTGAGGAATATTCTACTAACTGATAATTTTACGTGACTGATGAACCTCTTCAACAACTTTGCCCAGCGTTGATTACTCCTATGACATGTTTCCAGACATGTTTTCGCTTGTATTGCTCTAGCAGCATTTTAAAATAAAGTTTGGTACCAACAGAAAACTTACAGGTATGTTTGTAATGCATGGAGTCGTATATGATATTATATAACTTACCCAGTGTAGTACTGTAATACCTTACACTGTTCAGGTAGTCTTTCCACACCAAATTCACATTGGTTACAGGTTTGGGGAGAAGGATAGTGCTTAACAATAGCTCTGTCTCATGGCAAATGTCTGGATGTTCAACTGAAACTTTGGCAGGCTTGTGTCTTAGAAAGTGACCTGGATCGGAATTCCACTTATAATAAGTAACATTTCATTCCTCGGCCGAGAACAAAAGTAACAGTACCTTGGAGTATCAGTACCTATCAAGCAATTGTATCCCATTAGTACTCTCACAGTCTCAGGTTTCACTATCTATTGAGTAACGTCAGGTTATCAACTGTAGAGCCCAGTTCACATATGGCATGATAAAAGAGTAGTTCCAATTTGTTGCCAGCTTCTTACATTTTGTATGTTAAACAAAATGAACACAGTACGTGTAGTTCTTTTAGGCCAGTTCATATTGGTTGCAAGGGGTCCGATTGGTCAAGCTAAGGCTTTGGAGTTACATGTGTACATGAAATTGAATGCTAGAACCAGAGATAGAGTCAGTGGGGACTATTTCCACCAATGAAGTACTTAATCATACTCCTTTAGGAACAATAAAGAAGCTGAGCTTATTATTAGGGTGATGAAGATACAGGTTGATTGGTTATTACATTAATTTAAAGGAAAACATGTACCTTACAATGAAGTATGATTGAAAGGTTTTATTAGTTCTCTTATGAACTGTTGCTCACAAGTGAAATAACAGGAACAGTTAATGGTAAACTGAACAGAATCGGTGTAACAAGTCATTCGGTGTGATGTAGCCAGCTGCCGCCGCGCCACGTGCCTGCAAAGCTGGTGTGTTACGCCGAAGGGCAGTTATACCGGCTATACCGATATAGATATAGATACAGAATCACCCCGCAATCATTCTTTTTTTCTGCAACTTCTGCTTATGGAGCGATGACCCAGTAATAGTCTTAATAACTAGGAAGACAGTCTCTTGTATGGGTTCCACCAGACTCCTTTGCAGACTGAATAAATAGTAGAAATCTAAAAAGAATGTAGCTAGCCAGGGGAGTTGGCGGGCCCTAGAAGGTCCAGTTTGCTTGCAGGCTAACTCCCTTGTCCAGTTACATTCCTTTTTAGGCTGATTTCTACTATTTATTCAGCCTGCAAAGGAGTCTGGAGACTACTATTGTATACACTTCAATGTAAATCTTACCTTAAGAATGTACAGTCACTTACCTTCTGAGCTGCACTGTGGCCTTTTGTTTATACTCAGGTGTGAGGAGTAAGTAAAAAAAAACACCAGGTACTAGAAATGAATTTCTCATGGTAAATCTATCCTCAGTGTAACTTATAGGAAATGTTTTCTAAAGTAGAAAGACACTCTGATGGTTTGCAGTATTCTGTTGCTACCTAACATGACTGTTACTAGTACTTAACACCATGTACAGTGTCTTGCATTAGCCTCCATAGCATGCCAAAAACTGGGTGTTTGGGGGTCTTCAGGGTCTTTGGGAGCTTTTTTATGTGCTATTTTCTGATGGCATATATAGGCATCATAGCTGCCCTGGTTGAATTACCCCCATTTTTTTTTAAACTGGGCTAATCAGAAAACAGCCGAAGACCACCAAACCCCCAGTTCTATAAGCCTGCTATGAGGCTAGTCTTGCATATACCCATGAAATTGCACAAGAGGTTTAGCACTAAATGCATTATGTTTGAATGTTTGTAACTGTGATGCTTTTTCACACAAGTGGTAAAACTTTGCTTTTTGTGCTAACTGCAATTTTAAACGATCCAACGAAAATGGTTCCTTAGTTTCATGAACAGTATAAGATCAAGAAATACACCAGCTTGAAATGACTATACCCACCCTAACTTCTAGGTTGGCACTAGAACATGAGAACATGACTGTGTATCTATTCTATAATGACACTTTTCTCTGTGCAAAGTTATTGTAGTAAGAGGCCGGTTTCTTGATATTCAAGATATTGGGTTGCATTGGTAAATGATGTACAGAGCCATCATAGCATCTATTAAATGTGTTTTTATATGAACTTCAGTGTTGGGTGTCAAGTATTTCATTTTAGACTGTTAGCCAAAGTTTTATATATTTCGAGAAAAGTTGGAATGACTTTTGATTTCCTTTTTTACTTTAGAAGATTGTGAAAACTGTTGTGCAGACGGTGCATGAACAGATTTAGCACTCATTTATACAGCTGCATCAAGCGGTATGTGTTCTAAAGTGTCAAATCATTTCACATTTGTTGCCATAGCTCTTCACTGGTATGTGCGCATCCTAGGCCCTATTGTAGTTCGTATCTAGTTCGCCAGAGGGGGCTACTGCATGGACCACTCATACACTAACACTGCCGCGGAAGGATATAAGCTCAGGTTGAAGGATTGAAAATGTGATAATGACCCTAAGTACAAGTACTAAGTAGTAACTTTTTTTGACAAATGTCGTTTCTATAATTACAAAAGTATATCTTGGTACTAATTCTGATTTCTTGAAGTGTTGATTTCACACCGATCTATTTATTTTAAAGCGGAGGGCTACTAATGTGTGACTGGGTCCAGGGTCAAACCACGGGTCACGACCAAGATAGCAGCACTCGTGTTGTACATGTAGGTGAACACGTTGCTTCTTTTAAGACTCCCATTTTAACCGAACTTTACGACAAATTGAGTGTCTCTGGCCGTCTCTAACCGATACAGACCCCTTGCCAGACCAGAATGAGCGCCCTGCGTACGTTTGGAGGTGTATTGTTCAACAGATTTAGCGGGAAACTTGCCAAAAACAACCACGGATTTTTCAACGACAGACGTCTACGACTGAATCAGCTGTTTCAGGTTTCTTCGTATTTTGGCGCCCGGAATAATAATGTTTATCTTTCGACTGATGCTACGAAGAAGAAAGAAAAGACTGATTCTCTGCTAGCTATGGACCCGAACCGGTTTGCAGGACATCTGCAGAAGTTAGGAATCAAGAGGTGTTTCGTGGTTTGGGATTTTGAGGAGGGGAAAGTCCTGGTTTCACATCCAGAGTTGGAGGAGCTGGCACAGTTTTGTGCCGCAGATAAGGTGGGTAACGTACTGTTTAGTTTGTGTTTGTGTGTGTGTGAGTCTCCCTCTGTGTGTGTGCGTGTGTCTGTGTGTGTGTGTGTGTGTGTGAGCATGTGTGTGTGTGTGTGTGTGTGAGTCTCCCTCTGTGTGTGTGCGTGTGTCTGTGTGTGTGTGAGCATGTGTGTGTGTGTGTGTTTGTGTTAGTGTGTGTGTGTGTGTGTGTGTGTATGTGTGTGTTTGTGTATGTTTATGTGTGTGTGTTAGAGAGAGAGAGTGAGTGTATACATGTATGTATGGTAATTATCATGTACGTCTCTAATAATAATACTCTACTCTACTAATACAGACTCTATGTGTGTCTGCTCTCTCTTCGGTGTTCAGTCAGTTGTTATAGGAAATGACCAGACCTTATGACACCATATAATGTTACACCTTGATTGTCCCACCTGTCGCAGGTGAACTTTGACGAGCATGAAGGTGTGTTTATGGAGGTTGGCAGGAGGACGGGTGTGCTGATGGGAGCCTTCGTATGGAGAACCTACAGAGGACAGGCGGTAAGTAACACACTAAACCATACGTCACTACCCCACACGTCCACCCCTACTGCTTTAATACCCGGCCCCCTTCTCCACCATAGCCAACCACCCAATCATAAGCAGTATAACTAATGACATAAAATTACTGCCACTTATAATTTTAACTTCTGGTACTCGTACACAGTAAAAACTTTAGTGGAGGTAAAACTTCACGGCGGTGTAACTGTAAGTAGAGGAATGGGTTCTGCCTTCTTATACAAAAAGTGGTTGCAATGGCCATGGTGGTCCTTGTGAAGTTGTGTAAATGCTTGTCACTTGCACAGGTTTGACTGTACATAGTTACATACGTGTAGCCCGTTGCGTTGGTAATGTAAGATCAGCTCTAGGCATATGCCGTCATTAGCTTCTATATGTCTCTACAACTTTTGTCAGTCTTGCAAGTTGTTGATAATTCAATTTTCATCAGATTGTTATTCAAGGAAATCAGTATAATCTCTAACTCAAAGAAGGTGTCACATGTCAAGAAGGTGTTGTTTCCAACACTGCCTTACGATTGGCTCAAAGTGATCACATGATCAGACACGCCCCCATTTCCTGGGGGTGTGTCTGATTACAAGTTCAGTGAACCCTGTACTTAGTAACTTGATACTCGTGTGTGTGTGTGAAGTCAATAATTAACTGTTAGATTTGCATGCTAGCTATAGCAAGTCTACATACATGTATGTGTATATTCTCTGCTTTATAAAACAGTGTGAGAGATCTCTTACAGCAGCACCCCCAGGTATGCAGTGCATAATACTGGGGACGTTGGATTAGAGATCTCTTTAGATGCATTTTTCCAGTTTTTAGATGCATTCAGCCACCCAATACCTTTGGTGGCTAATGGTCACTCCTCTGGCCAATGGATAACAGTTACTGACTGTCCACCGTATGATCTGCTTGGAGATTCAGGGGTCTCCCCATGAATTCTGAGGGGAGAGGTGCTCCCTAATTGGTTGATGAAAAATTAGCAAATTTTTCACGTAAGTTACTAAATACTAAGAGAAAACTCTACATTTCAACATATTGGGAGGGGTTCTAGGATTTTTGGGAGAGGGGAGCACCCTTGCTTCATTGCTTGGGGAGAGCCCTGAGATTATTTGTAAGTAGGTCAGAAGTCAGGACATGAGTTAAGTTGTCTGAAAAGGTTTACTTCAAACAGAGACGAGTAAACAAAGTGCTTACACAGCTACTGGGCAGTGTTGACTGAGCCTTAGTAAGTAGATTGTAATTTCATCTACCAGGATGCCGGTAGCAGCCTGTTTACAGAATTGCACTAAAAAAGCAATTGCCATAAATTTGGTACCATGCACTTAGTACTAGTCAGGTGTTATTTTTATCATATGAACAGCCAGCATACATATAATCTAACCAAAGATGTTGCAACAAGCACGTAACATTATTTAAAAATTTATTAATGCCCAAGTCATTAACATACTAGTATACAAAAGACATTTGTTCACTTCAGTCATATTCTTGGATGTTTGTTCATATTCTATTAAGTTCACTCATAAAGTATGTACCTTGTCACGTCGATGAAGGTTAGACATCCAGGTAATACGATACGCCAAAAAGCAGTTACTCAAGCAACTGGATATGATTTTGGAAACGGTCAGACGTTTCAGCTAGTATCCACTAGCTTTCGTCAGTGACTGAGAGACCAGAGGGGAAAACAGGTTTATAAACATGTACCTTGTCATCTATAACTAAGACATGCACAGCTGCTTAGTATTGTTCAACTGCTAGTGATCCCATTATTCTTATACATGGATGAAGGAAGAAGAAAATTTCAATGTGCTGTCTAAACTCTTTCCAGTGTGGAGGTATCCGACTGTGGAACTACCCCGGTATGGACCGGTACCTGCCCTGAAGCCTTTGTCTCTCTGTAATGTGTTTAATATGTTGTAGTGTTGTATGTGTTTCCCCTATCCTACAGTGTGGAGGTATCCGGCTGTGGAACTACCCCGGTATGGACCGGTACTTAACCTGAAGCCTTGTGTCTCTCTATATGTAGTTATGTACCGTTGTGTCTCCCCTACAGTGTGGAGGTATCCGACTGTGGAACTACCCCGGTATGGACCGGTACTTAACCGATGGACTGAGGCTGGCCCAGGGGATGGGGGTTAAGTCTGCACTGGCTGGACTCTGGTAGGTTATACATGTATTTTGTTTAGCATTCATAGTACAACACTCATGTCATGTACATTGATCCACAAGAAGAACCAATAGTTTGGTTTTACCCTGGTTTGTACTTGTAGCATTAGGAGATTTGGTATAGGGATGATTGTGATTTAGTATTATTTTCTGTAAGTCTGGAAGATTCCTAATCCCCAAATTGGATACATTATTAGGGACAACACTGTATCCAAAACCGTACTTTATCCAGAACCATGCTCGGACACGGTTCTGGATAGTCCATGTGTATTTAGAACTGCACCTGAGGCAAATCTACTAAGTATTTTCTTAGATATGCGGAGACTATCCAGAACTGTGGCTGCATAACAAACACAGGGACCCCGGCTTCAGACACCATTAAACAACGGCATAAGTAACCATAATTAACATGTTTCCTGCTTTCCACAGGGCAGGAGGAGGTAAAGGTGTGGTACAAGAACCCATGCACAACAAACACACACCTTCATTTGCATACTCGGGACAACTTAAATGCAGCCATAACCAATGTTGTATATAAATTTCCATTCGCAGGGCAGGAGGAGGGAAGGGTGTAGTACAAGAGCCCATGCACAACAAGCACAGGGATCCTTCCTTCAGACAGAACATGTTCTTTGACTACGGAGACTTCCTGTCGTCGCTGAATGGCTGCTATGGTAGGTACCAACAACTGAGGTTTTTGTGCTTGTTTAGTTTATTTTGTAGAGTTAATTTTTTTCTGTCACCATTGCTGCAGTTATTTTACATTTCATCAAATATACATCAAATATATTCATGCTTATAATAGGTGCACACTGCACTGCTTTTCATAGTCAACCTCTGAACAGCTCATACATTTTTAACTCACCATCAGATACATCATACTTTTACTATCATAGTCGTCACCTAAAATCCAAACCCACTTACATTTTACACACATGAGCCATTCTGTTACAAACTCAACTTCTGTCATCCTTTGCTCTGAGAATCAATGCTAAATATCTTATATTGTTTTTTAAGACTCCATTTGCTCATCATATTACAAGCTTCAAAGTTACGAGGCTAAACCGTTTTGAGCTAATGTATACAGTAGCTCCTGTTTTGCTCCCACGAATTGCAATCCGGGAATTAATCAATGTAGAAGCTAAGACTAAGAGTCACACTCTTCATCTCTTCTCTCCTGACACATCTGCCCTGCCACCCTGTCCCCTGGGTGACAAGCACAGTTAACCTGGCCGGTATGTACTTGAGTGATGGGGTGATCTTTCTGGAATGTTCTGTACTAGTACTGTTTTTATTGACGTCTGTCCTCTCACATGCATGCAAGCCTTTACTACATGTACATTGTATGCCAGTGATCGAAATACCTGTCTGCAATCTGCAGATGGATTTTCAAGATTGCAGAAGAAAAACTTAATAATATATAATCTGCAATTTTAAAGAAGGAAAAATAGGCTTCAGATTCAGTAGTTTTTAATTTAGCTCGAATTTACAGGCAACTTGATTACAGGCAACACCCAAGGATAGACACTACTTATTAGTAGTAGTACTTAATAAGGTTCTGAAACAACAGGAGCTTCTTCACTAATTTGCATCATCCTTATCTTGACTTGAACTGAAATCCTAGTACATAGTATTGTATATTCTAAACACAGCACTTAATGATCCTGGTAGGTTTCAATAAATGTTTTCTTAGGCAATTTCTACACTGTGAGTACAATTTGTTCCACCCTAGCCTGGTGCTAATCACTGGACTACATTCAAGTAAATCTAACACAATTCAAACACAGAACTATATACATACATGAACTGAAATCCTAGTACATATACGTATATTAATTTTTTAAGCACAGTATTTAATGATCCTGGTAGGTTTCAATAAATGTTTTCTTCTATAGGCAATTTCTACACTGTGAGTACAATTTGTTCCACCCTAGCCTGGTGCTAATCACTGGACTGAACATAGCAGCGCATTCACAGCATGTCCAATACAAATCAAACACAGTTATACATTGTACAAATGTATGTATTACTACATGTATATACACTGAAATCCTATAGCTAGTATATTAGTAGTATTGTATATTTTCAACACATTCAACATCTAAATGATGAAATATTGCTAGTAAATAGCTATAGGTTGATCAAAAATGTTTTGAAGGAAATTTTTGCACTGTTAGTGCACTCTTAGACTTAAGCCTATTTCTTGCAAAGAAAAAGGTTTTTGATTACTTGTTTGCTTGTTCATATGCCTTTTTAGCAGGGTCTTTGATGAATCTGGGGACTGCACTAAACCCAAGTAGCCTGTTGGCCTCCCTCTGCTGCCCCCTGGTGAAGTGGTGAATCACCTTCTGTCTGTCCTGCTGCTGGTTGTACAGAGTGACCAGGTGGTAGTGAGCACGTGGCACATAGGCATCACACTCTGGTGCCAGCCTGAGGAAGTGTTCAAACTGTCTGATGGCTTCTGTCTCGGACACTTCCTTAGACAGTGCGGCTGTGAAGTACACTGTGTTCAAATGGTCCTGTTTGTACATAAGGGAACTCGCCATGGCAGATAGTGCTTTGGCTAGAGCAGGCAGGTCACTCCCCATGAAAAGTTTTGTTATCATCGTTGGCTGAGGGCTTGCCATCCATATGGCCCACCCCAGGTAGCCGTAGATGTGGTGCAGGTGTTGGTACAGCCAGTCTCCTGGTCCGTGCTGTAGGACGGCATCAACCACCTGCTGCAGGGTCTGCACCCGGCTGTCTCCATCTGGCAGCTGTAGGGCTGTCAGCAGCAGACAGGTGCTGTCAGTGGGGTCAGCTTGTAGCTGGGAGGTCATCAGCTGCTTCAGCTGGGCTTTGTTCAGGTTCAGCCATGGCTGTCCATACAGTATTGTACTTGTGTAATCTGGTGTTTTAATGTCATCCAGCATGAATCCCTGCACCAAGGCCTTGACTCCCCCCAGGTCTGTGTACCCACTGCTGGTCAGGATTTCTGCTCCTTCCTCCCAGGACCTGTAGGCCTTGATGCGACGTTGTGCTGTTGGTGAGTCCTTGTGCTTCTGTAGCCTGGCTCTCAGCCTCTTGAGCGGGCCCTCCTCCACCTCTCCAGCTGAAGTGATGGACATGGCAGCTACAGAGGACACATCTTCAGGCAGGCCTGAGTCTCCCTCTGTAGTCACACTGGGTGGTACAGACTGGAAACAGAGGGCGCAAATTAATCAATTAGCATTCTTCAGTCACCAACTGACCAAGGGTAAAACGTGTCTCCAGTTGTATTTATTAGATAACTTCCCCAAAATAATCTATCAAATAAAATGAATAATCATCCAGTTTATCAAGGGTTTTCCCAAATTACCCTACCCCCCACCCCTTCTTGGCTATAAGTAAAACGATATGTTGCTCTCCGTGTGATTTTGAGAAAAAAAAAACATTATAAATACATGTATAGTAAATTATACATTCCACCATACCTGTTTCTCCACCATCCCTGCCCACTCCCATCTCTCTTCCTGCTCTGTCCCTGCTGCCTCCTCCTCTTCCTGTCCCTCCTCATCAGCAAACCACCACCCCTCCAGCCCCACTTGGATTGGTCCGGTCCAGCCGATCCTCTGAAGTTCATCCTCTAAAAGCAGCTGCAGACAGGTGCGGTCAGACCGCTTGTCGATTTTCTCATTGAAGCTGCGTAGGACCCAGTAGCCAGCCTGCGGAGAGAATTGATCAAATTATACCAGTGGAAAAACTGATTGCATTCGAACCGGCAAACTTACACTTGTAGCTTGCCGTGTTGAAAAAACTTTTTCAGCCATGAATCATATTTCCTCGTAGCACATGTTTCAACAAGAATTCAGAGATCTCATACCTCCATGAAATAATATGAGTTTTTGTAAATGTTTTACACAGTACACTACAGTACAGAACAAAATAACACAGGTTTTTGTTTTCAAACACACAGTAGCACCTTTGGCCTGAAATAGGTCAGGCTGTAATACATTTGGTCAACTGAACAAGTAGCCTATTCCAGAGGGAGAACCTCATTAATCAAACCGTAGCAGGCGCGCTGCGTGTTTTGTTGCATAACCTGCACATCTGTTTTCCCTGCCTTGCAAAAAGGTACAAAAACCGGAAGTTCTGCTGCAGTACCAAGGTCAGCCACCGGGAGCTCCATATTTGACCTTGACCTTTGGCTTCCTAAGACCTACCAGCATACCAAATATCACAATCCATAAAGGCGTTCTGAAGTTATGCTGACTACAAATGTGCAGAAACAAACACACACACACACACAGACGCGCCAAAAACAATACCTCCATTTTTCATGGAGGTCATAATTAGAACAAGAACAATCAAAGAGTAAAATGTGTAATATACCGGTAATTTTGTGATTGCCTTACCAGTGTGAGAAACTTGACATGCACAAGTAGCGACCCTTCCTCGATGTTCTCTACTTCGATGTGTCGATCTCGCTCCACCACCCTGCGGATGGCCTCCTCTGTCTGCTGCCTGTTGCCCAGGTAGAACCCTGCCAGTGTTGTCACTCCTGTAGCCATCCCTGCTGCCAGTCCAGTTCCCAGTACAACTGCAGGTGATTCTGAAACCTTGCTGGCTGCGAACGCAGCCGTAGCAAATGCTCCGGCCACGAGGCCTCCTGCTGCAAGGGCCTGGCTCTGGATTCTGATGGTTGCGCCACCAAAAGTACCTCCCACAGACATCTGCAGAGCCGGCGGCTGCCCAACATTTGCAGCTGCTTGACTTGCAGGTGGGACATTGTGGTACACCTGCCCAGCCGGTTGGGGGGGCATGTGGAAGCCTTGGTGTGGAAACAAGGCTGCCTGAGCCCCGTACCCTTGCTGTTCTGGGTGGAACTGCACGGGAGCAGCCTGCTGAGGGTGCTGTTGCATCTGCCTTGGGTCCTGGTAGGCTTGTCCGGCAGCCTGGGGTGCTGGTTGGCCTCCGTGTTCAGCAAGGAAATACTCCCCAGGCAGTCCAGGCTGCAGTTCTCCCTGCACCTCTATTTCAGTATCTTGTGGTGGCAGCTCGTCCTGAGCACCTCTGAGAGGTTGCCTTGGTGCTCCCTCAGCCATGTTTGTGGAATTTCTTATTAATCAGGAACCCTGATTACCTAACGTGTACAAGCAAAAATTTTAGCTGCGTACCAAACTGTAAGAACTACTGTCCTGTAGTTTGTTCCTTGACCAGAGTGCAAAGTCCTTTTGCCCCACATACGGGACACCGTAGTTAATGTTTAACATGAACCCTCCAGATATGTGTAACTCGGCAGTTAGGAACACTATGCTGTGTTCCATAATACCTGTCTGCAATCTGCGGATAGATTTTCAAGATTGCAGAAGCCCCAATTGGGGCCTGAGAGTTCTAGTTTGCTAAATGGAAAGCTTGCAAGGATAGACAAAAAACAAAAAATTTTACTTTAACTTCTGCAATATTGCAGAGCACTGAAAAAAAGTATTTCGACCACTGCATGCAGTAAATTTCACTTCATTGTGTCTCATCATCCAAACTGCCATTTTTGTTTAAAACTGTTTGATCCCCTCCAGTCTGCCCTACCAGACTAAGTGTGGCACTGGATATGTCCTTCCCTGTTAGTACTGTGTTAACAAGTGTTCTCAGTACTATGCTAACAGTACTGACTTAACAAGACTTCAGTGTGTACTTAACTTATAATTACTAACAACATGTGTTTTGCCATCTCTAGCAGACTTTCTCAAAATCATCAACTAATTTAAAGATATTTCATATTTCCAGGCTGCCATCAGATGTGTGCTGTATGTTTATTTTACTGATGTTGCTTCAATGTTTGTTTTCCAGTTGTCCTGTTCTGCATGGCAGCTGATTTCTTCTTACTGTTCTGTATGTTTCCACTGGTGCATTTGTACATTTGCTAGTAAAAGAGCCTAGTCTAGCTGCCATCCCATTTGCTACGGGGCTCCTTAACTTAGTTAAGTTATGCTTGAGTGAGCTTAGTGAGTATGGGAGCCCCAGTATAGCCTCCACCAGGCTTTGGGAGGCGGTTGGAAAGAGTAGAAATTGGCCAAAAAGAGAGATTACATGCCAGAGGAGTTGGTCCACTAGATTGCACAGGTGCTGCAAACTGAACTCTTTAGCGGACCAACTCCCTTGGCATGTTATCTCTCTATTTGGCCTATTTAATTCTTTTCAGCCACCTCCCGAAGCCTGGTAGAAGCTAGCCTCAGTATACAAATAGGATGGCACCAAGGCTTACTCTAAATACTGTGCAACTGTTCAATTTCTGAAGTTGTATCCTTTGGATACTTTTCTGTGCAGCTCTTTATACATGTTTTGATGACGATTTTGCTCTGTTTGAACAGTGAGTGCAGAGGATGTAGGGTTGAATGTGAATGACCTGAACAATGTGATGCAGAGAACCCGCTACACAACATGTATATCAGAGGAACTGGGGGGATCTGGGAACCCATCCATACTCACTGGGAAAGGTGGGTTCTTTCTACATCAAGTCAGAATTATTATAATGTTAGCTTGAAGACTGAGATATTTATCTGTTGGTAGGAGTTATTCTGAAACACGTTTGTACTGTTATTTCCAGCACAAATACAATTGGACTTACTCAAATTTTTGACTGTTACAGTCCAATCTTTGTCAAGGAATGAGCAATCCACCACTTTTTGGGCAGTTTATGCAGATAGAACACGTGAATCAGTGGACAGTTTGTGTCCCTCCCTCTCTGTCCCTGTTGAGGGATTGTTGTAATGCCACACAATCACAGTTTCCGAGCTTTCAAAAAAAAATCCGCACATTATACGTATAATGTAATTTTGGACAGTTATACTTTTCCTGTCTAATCTTAATGTAAATGTCTTGATGAAGATTGAAGTAAAATGTTGTGTGTTTTATGCATATGTCTGCCTGCAGGAGTTGTGTGTGCAATGGAGGCTGCTCTGGACTTCCTCAGCATGGGAACTCTGAAGGAGAAAACAGTGGCAATACAGGGGGCTGGCAATGTGGGCAAGTACATGTATATTTGTATCAATTAACACTTTCACCCGTTCATTCATATGTATGTATATTCAATAAGAGAGAAAACAGACTGGCAATACAGGGGGCCAGCAATGTGGGCAAATAGCATATTAATTTGAGATATACTTCTTTGGGACATACATCATTCTGAAAAGCTTTAATGACACAAATATTGCCATATCTTTGAACCAATACATGAAATGAAATACACTCTTGGTGAATGTAGGGATTTTATTACTCAAACTCCCAACAATACACCCTTTCTTTGCCATTATGGCCTGGTTACACACATGCATGTGGTACGATTACTATACAGTCACAAAACTGAGAATATTCTTGGGATAGCTGTGCATCTGTCCTGCAGTATTAAGCTGTCTTGCTATTGTTGGCAGTTGGTTCAATCACACAACAGTCTTCAAGTCTTCAATGCTTAACCACCATGTTGTTGTTTCACTTCCAGCTCTGGTGATCATAGAGACCCTGTTAGAGAAGGGAGTGAAGTACATCTACGTCACCGAGTGTCACCAGAACAGGGTCGACGACATGAAACGAGTCTTAGCTGACAAGGTTTGGTTTAACCTTCTCCCTGCTGTCTAAATATGTAACCCTGTAACCAATAGAGAACTGGTAGCCAAACTTCTACTTCAGTGTGCTAAAGGTTAACCTTCTCCCTGCTGCCTAACCCCGTGACCAATACAGAAGTGGTAGACAAATTGCTACTTCAGCATCAACTTTCTCCCTGCTGCCTAACTCTGTATCCAATGGGGAATTGACAGCCAAATGGCTACCTCAGTCTAGATCTGCTTCTGGTTAAAAGAAAAACAACATTTTTAAGGAAATAAGGACATCTCTGTTTAACAAAACTATACTGTTTAACATTGATTGTAACATTTCCAATGACCATAACCCTCTGCATGTGCCATCTATAGTTCAATCAGATTATCATGTCCGAGCATGCTCTTAGAGTACAGTCAAGTGTTTTATGTTTGCCATCTGTTAACATGTGTACATGTACAATGTATGTAACATGTCCCCTGATGTCTCCCCTCTGCAGGCTAACGGCAGGCTGGAGATACAGAAGGTCCCTATAGACGACACCAGCATCATGTCTTATAACTGTGACATCCTGTCTCCATGTGCCCTCGGAGGGGTAGGCTTGCTTTCTTATCTTCTTGCTTTAGACTGAGACTTAGGGGCTCCAGTCAGGCACATAAGGCAGTCAGAGCTTGTCGTGAGTATTCCAGCAAGTATGACTGTATGTCTTGTAAATGTGACATAATGTCCATGTGCACTCGGAGGGGTAAGATTTACTTCTTCTGTTCTTGCTTTAGACTTAAATGTAGAAGCATCTACTCTAAATAGTTTCATCAGGTTGGTACAAATGTAAGTCACTGAATAAAGAGAATCTTTCTACACAACCAAGTGTTTTATTCAGCCGACATCACCTTCTTCAGGGCTTCGTTTTAGAAGGATCTACATTACATGGAGTGGGTAAGAGCTAATGGAGCAATGTATCTAAGTATATCAACTGTTCGTTGTATCTTTCCCAGCTCCAGTGTCTTTCTGACACATAAGGCACTGAGAGCATTCCTGCAAGTTTGTTGTCTAGATATCCTATACAAAAAAAGCAACCCTCACTTGGCTTATACCTCCTTGCCCTCCCCTCTCCCCAGATCCTGAATGCTGACACCATACCCCAGATCAGTGCTCCCATTGTGTGTGGTGCAGCCCTTTTTTTCCCTCCCTCGACTGTTCCTTACATGATGATAGTTTTAGTTTGTTCCTGTAATCATGACTGTACCATTTCTTAACTGTGAATTTCCCCTTCCCCCAGATCCTGAATGAGGACACCATCCCACAGATCAGTGCTTCCATCGTGTGCGGTGCAGCCAACAACCAGCTGGGCTGTCCCGAGGACAACCAGCTACTGAAGGAGCGCGGCATCACGTACATAGTGGACTATGTGGCCAACAGGATGGTGAGGCTTGTAAAGTTGATTTCTATATATAATTTAGCATGGATGGTGAGTTATGAATAAAGTTTGAACTGTAATTTCCAACACAAGAAATTGAACTTACCCAAATTTTACACTGTACAACTCTAGTCTTTGTAAACGAATGAACAATCCATCACTTCTTTGACGTCCTGTGATGCAGATGATACACGTGACTTGTGAGTTTTGTACATCAATCACAAAAATCATGACTCTAGCATGTCCAGAACACAAGATATTAAAACTGGAGTTCTGCTGCAGTACCATTAAAAAGGCCAGAGGGTCCAAAATCTAATCATTTGTCAATGAGTCTAGACCTACCTACCTTCCAACTGTCATGACAATCCATCCATAGCTTCTTTATTTATCGTTCTAAACCATACACATACGTGCAAACTCTACTAAAAACGTGTCCTACCAGGCAAATGTAATAAAAGCAATATGATATAGGCTTTCTGTGAAGTTGGCATATTTCACAGAAATATAGAGCTGGGAAAATGCGCATTTCGTTATTTATGTAAATACAGAATAATGTGTTTCCTTTTCCCCCCAGGGTATTGTGAACTGTGCCAATGAGACGTACGGGCGTCTGCCAGATGATCCAGCCATCACCAGACATCTGGGGAGGGACTGGGATAACTCAGTAAGCTGGCGTTCTTTGTTTGTTTTGCATAATCGTTTAACAGCCTTCAGGCATAACACAACTGTCCAGTTTTGTACAGTAAGTACAATATTTGTAAGACCAGACTGATACACTTACACTGGGAAGAACCCCTACTCTTTTCGATAAAGTGTGTTGGGTTCTTAAATGTGCTTGAGGTGTGGCCCTCCCCAAACACGGGACCCCTGGCTTTATATTCCATCCAAGAGGATGTCCCTAACCAAAGCTAGGTACTCATTTTCACCTGAGTCAAGTGAGGAAGTAAGTGTAAAAAGCCTTTCCCAAGGGTACAATATTGGAGCCTGCTTCTTCTTGTTCTTCTTCTTTCATCCTCATCATGATGAGGTGTAGCAGAAGGTGTTCTGCTTCCAGTACTACTGCTTGTCAGACAAACCAGCCTCAGATTCTATGACTGAGAGTTGTGGTTGGAGCCTGTTTAGCACTCAAACACTCAAACATACTCAAGACAACCTTGCCACCTTTGTGTATTTCTCCAGGTGTTTAAGATCACTAAGGAGATCCTTCAGAAGGCTGAGAAGGAGGACGTCACACCTGTGGAGGCTGCCGACGTTCTTGCCGACAAGGCGAGTCGGGAACTCCATCCCATCTGGCCTCACCGGAGTCAGCAGATTATCAAAGCACTGGTGGCCGGCGGCTGGCATAGGGGGAACAACATCTACGGGTCTCCATCTTAGTATTTATCATGAAAGTTCATCTGTGTTGGTAGTTATTGTTTGAAGTTAAACTTTAGATCTAACACAAAGAAGTTCTCTCACCAAGAGCTTTCGACCAGTCACTCTGGTCTTCCTCAGTAGACTGACCCAGTGAGGCTTGTCACATGGCTTCTTTGAAGTGTGACTTCAACACTGGGTTAAAGGTATCTGGTCGAAAACTCTAGGTGAGAGAACTTCTTTGTGTTGGATCTATCGTTTTAACTTTAAACAGTCATAGTATTTGTAGTGTAATTTTTAAAGTCTCTGTCACAGGTAGCCAACTATGGCTGGACTTAGTCTGCACCAGCCTACTATGAATTAGAAAACATCAAAGTCAGGAATATTCTTTCTGCTTGGATGCAAACAGAGGAACGAACTGGAGCTAGACTAGGACAGATTCCAGACAACTTGTCAGTTAAGTTGTGGGAAGGTCTTGAATGTGTGACAGGGGCTCTAGTTAGAAGCAAACATGTTTGTTTATTGTAAGGCTTTAAACAATAAAATGTTAAGAAATGAATGGAGAAATGGTATTTAAGAGGGTACTTCATCATATTGGTGAATTAAATCAATTATAACAGAACTATGTGTACAACTATGTATGATATAGTGCTGATGATTGAATCACATGTAGCCGTCCACAAATTCTCTCCACATATCTTTGAAACACTGAAGACCTTAAGTGCAAAAAATAATAGCGTAGTCCATGTTGACTTAGAGTGTGATAGCACAGAATAGTTGATACAACAATGCAATGTTTAAGAACTGGTATACATGTAATCATGTACTATACAAATCTAAGACTATCGATTTCAAGATACAGCCATATCATCTGTATTTAAGAGAAAAACTGAAATTGCAGTTTTTTTTACACTATATAGAATCTGAGTAGTTATATATTTACTGTTTACATTGGAGCAGTACAGCAAGACCAATGCATTAAGTTAGTCTCTACCAGACTAACTACGCTGGCTATATATAGGTCGGGAGAATATTTGCCAGGGGAGTTTGGCCGCCTTGGGGTTTGATTCCCCTGGCCAATTTTACCCTCCTTTTTGCCAAATTCTACGATCCGTATTGCCGTAGAAAGGCCTGGTGGAGGCTGGCATTAAGCAGCATTTGGATATGATAGATGAGGGTTCACTCATTTAGTGTTTTCAGCAAAAATAGTGTTTTTGTTTTTAAGATTATAGCAAACAACATTAATTGTTTGAAATAGGATTTTTAGTCCTCAGAAGGCAGCTGTTGTTTCAGAATGTCTATGCACAATGAGAAGCAGTTGAAAATGAGATACTATAATTAATCACTGTACATAAATATGACTGTGACAACAGAAACTTGTACTTAGAACTCTAAGTAAGATATGGTACTGATTTGTAATTTTCTGATGTAGCAAATATTTCTCCAAAAGTTTTATCTTAATTTTGAAGTGATTTTAAGGTCAGTAGTAGGTTGAATAGATGATTGCTTAGAACTATAGTTTTGAAAAAATAGAAAAAATAAGGGAAGTGTTTTAGTGGTGTCGTGAAAAAAACTAGTGTTCATTAGTTTGTAATATCATGTTTGGCCGTAATTCATGATGGGAAGAAAGCAAGATAGGAATTCTTATCTAGATTTTTTTTGACATTCATAAGATGTGTACAATGTATTGTACAATGCAAAGTATTTAGTTGTTTCTGTTCCATTTGAAGCAACTTGTTGCAAGATCCAGGTGAAAGTTTTTATTGTTTACTGTGATTAACTTTTGTTAGGCACTTAATTAACTCAATAATTGTTTTAGATGGCAATATTGATTTTAAGTTAAGTGGTCTTTTCAGGAATTATTATGCTGAGATGGAAAAGTGATTTTCCCACAAATGCTTTTGCAACAATGTGCTTTAGTGGCAATTTATGTGCCTTTTTCTAGTTGAGTATTTAATCATGGTGTATTGTACTGTATAAGGCCACACCGATTTAATTTTATGGATGACATCCTCTGAAGACCCCCAAACTAGTGCGCGGGGGCGAAAAAAATAAAAATCCGTCCAAAAATAAAAATGCTACTAAACCACAGGAATACAAACCTGGTATTGTGAATTTGGCGCATTACATAGCGACGTATACGACAGGCCGACACATGCTGGATTTTTGCGGAATATATGAATCGGCACTGCTGTACGTATGTACTGAGTTCTTGAGTCTTGGAGCTTCGGTAGCCTGGCTGCCGTCAACCAGAGTTATCACCACCGTGCACTACCCAGGCCTAAAGCCAGGCCAGAGCCTCGGAATACGTGATTTTTTTTTTTTTTTTGAGATCGGGCGAAAATCAATGCGTGCGCGGATGTCATCCATAAAATTAAATCGGTGTGGCCTAACTTCTATCAACAAAATACTTGTAGGCAGTAGTAGGAGTCTATTAAACAGTGTTGGGAGGAAGAAGACCTTCTGTCAATAATAGAAAATGTTTAACTCTTTAAGCTCCTAAGAAAGTTGTTAACCGTCCAATAGTTTCCTGCAAAAGTCGAAGAACCAATGAATTGAATTAGTATTGCCTTATGCACAGTCATGTAATTTTCATGACTTTTTTTGTTTATACTTCAGGCTACACTGTGATCTCTCTATATATAATTCACAATGTGTCGGGAATAAAGGATGTCAACATTGAAGAATGATGTGTTATTATAATAGCCTTGTAGTTTGCTAAAAAATAATGTTCATTTGTTTGCATGTCATGTTATGCATTGCCAAGAGATAAGACTGTTTAATAGTCATGAGAAAATGTAGCCTGGGTGCCAGACTGTTTCCAGGGCCTACACAGGCCAGCTCCTTGTCTCCAGGACCAATGTGTCCCCGAGGAAATTTCACCACAGACACCCCTGAGTTTACATTAAGTGAGTAACTCAGATGTAGATATTCCTGCTTGTTGTACAGTAAGTGTTTTTACTGCCAGGCTGTGGTAAAATCTCCTTTGGGGCATGTTAGCCCTGGAGCCAAGGAACTGGCCTGTGTAAGCCCTGGGAACAGGCTGGTATCCAGGCTAAGAAATTGTTTAATATCAAAGAGCTAAAAATTGTTGATTTTCCAATTAGTAGTATTACCCCGAATTTAGTACATAAAATGTGTCAAAACTCATCGGCAAATTTCCTAAATACCAAACCCAGACATTTACGTCCAACACTTCTTCAATCTTCAATTCCTCTCACGAATCGTGACGTAATCCGCGCCAAATCCGTCACACAACCCGCGCGCCCTGAATAAATTATGCAAATGAGTTTATGACGTCAGAGGGGGCGGCGGGGGTTTCCCAAACTTTTACCGCAATCGTCACTTCCTTGTGGGTCGGTCTCAGTGCTCCGATCATGGCGGCTGCTGTTCTCGGTAGCATGAAGGCAGCACCTTACACCCCGGTCCAGTCGCGAAGTCCAAGTCCTCAGACCAAAGTGGCCGTCGGAGACATCGAGTACTCCAAACGGAGACGACTTAAAGATCTTCTGGACCCGAAGAAACACTGGGAAGATGTCGGTAAGTGACGAGCTTCTTCGAAGTGTTTTGGTGGTGTTTTTTTCCTGCACATGTCGGAAGTTCAGTTTCTCAGAAATTATTTGAAGGACTTATTGACCTTGATAATTTTACTAGCCTGGGTGCAAGACTTTTCTTGGGGCTAGTACTAAGGGCAGAGCCTTAATAGACCCCTAAGAAGCAAAACTTAAGGGGTGTGTGTATGGTAAAATTTCCTTGGGGACATGTTGTTGGCCCTGGAGCCGAGGATATAGCCTGTGTACTAGCCACGGCAACAGTCTGGCAACCAGACTAGATTTTAGATTTTTAGATTATTTATAATCTCCAAGCAGATCATACGGTGGCAAGGCAGTATCTATTGGCCAGAGGAGTGCCCATTAGCCACCAAATACTTTCTGGCTTGACCAATTTTGATACTGTCTTTTGCGACTACCGAAAGATCTGCTTGGAGATTAAATCTTTTACACGTTTCCTCTATTTCTTTTTCCTTAGCTGGGAGACTGGATTACTCCCAGGATGAGATCAGTGCCTTTGAGTTGGACTACAGAAGACCGGACGGAAGTCCCACCATGAGGCTTCTGGAACATCTTGGCCAGAAAAATGTCTCGGTGAACAGACTTTTCGTCGTCATGTGTGAGTGCGAGCTCAACAGGGCCGCCGAAGTTCTGAAACCTCTGGGTACGTAGAACACCTTTTAGATAGGTTAAGACAAACTTTTTTGTAATCTTTGAGTTTTGCGTCGTATATGTGAAGAGATGGTGGATGAATAAGCCTTAATAAGCGTTAAAATCAACAATTTTTACACAAGTTTCAAACGTTGTTGAAAAATTTTTGGGAAAACAAAATGGCGGCTTTTGCACTTACTTTACTTCCGGGTTGGGCTAGTTACTAATTTTACCCACGTAGGCTTTTAACAACTGACAGCTAAAATTAAAGTTATCAGAAGTTTTTGTATTCCAACTTCTAACACACCAACCCTTTTACCCATCTGTTTAACTCATCTATAAAGTACACTGTTTTTTTTTGTTTTTTTTGTTTTTTTTTTGTAGAAGGAACAACTTTCATGATAGGAAGCACTGAAACATTTTAGGGAAGGTGGTCGCCAGGAAGTTAAGGAAATGAAATTGTTGTTGAGCGTCATCCGAAACCGCATTGACGCCACAAAAACTTCCCCAGTTGGAACCCTTCCTAAAATTCACATCCCTAAAATAGGTTGCTGAATCATTTTCCTTGTTTAAACATTAAAACTTTGTAGTATTCAAAGAAAATGTTGTCGTTTATAAATTATAATATAATCATGATATAATTTTATTGATAAGTTGAGTACTACACATGCCCCTTCTTGTAAATTCTTTATGTCTTGTGAGAAAAACAAACATACTTGGAATCCCCCAGGTTAAGAAATGACTACACAAGAGTTCTATTTCCTATTTCCTCTGTATTTAAAAACCAGTGTACAATCCAGTGTCCTGATTATTGGACGTATCAAACCTTTGAGACTGCTCGCCTGTTCTGATATATTAAACGTTAGTAGATTGTATAACTTTAAAGTTACAATTCCTATAACATTACATGTATATATTGAAAATTATTTTGCACAGAGTTGAACGTGAAATATTTGCTATGGTTATACCAGTTTACAGCAATGAGTCATATGGCTTAGTAGGTAAGTCTTGTATTTGACATTCTCACTAACTTATAGTTATACCTATAAGACCAAAAAGCCATTACTATGTAACTGTAATTTCATTCATTTTTGCAGGGACACATTTAATTTCCTGCAGGAAAGGAGGTCTTTAAGTTCTTGGATGAAACAAGACTACTACTATGTCAGTATAGCCTGGAATTTCTGGAAAGAAATATGTGGCAAAAATTTAACCATTGCTTTCCCCCTAACAGTGGATGTCAAGTACCACGGATATCTGAGAGATGAGGAAGACCCCCCAGTTCCCACTGTGCAGTCTGATGAGAACTTCGGCAAACTTTCCGACACCTTTGGGGCCTTGAGACTTGATAATCAAGGTAGGTGTTGCCTCTTAAAAGTTAAAGTACTCCATGGGTTTTATCAAGGACATTATAGTGTCCTAATGGTTTTAGTTGCTCAACTTCTTAATTTTCTTAAACTTGTGACAAATATTTAGCATTTATGATTGTATAACTGCCATGGTCTGATTGTAAAAGCCTTTTAACAGTATTACCTCTGCCAAGAAGATTTTTGAAGCTGTTTGTCTTTGTGATTGTTCAAAGTTGTGTGGCCTAAGGGCTTCAGAACTGTACATGGGTGATGCCTTATGCGGCATGTTGTAGAGAAATTTAAGGACTTGCTATTATCCTAATTTTGTCTAACATCATGTGTGATTTTGATTCTAGGGTCAAGCTCCTCCATGGACTCCCTCCCCCTGCCCCCTCCCCCACCCATGCCCCCCGGCATCTCCCCACCCCCCAACATCAGGGTGTGCCAGCCGCACCAGGACCCTGGGGGCAGAGAGGATCATGGGAGTCCTCCCAAGGAAACAAGGGAAGAAGCACAGGAACGACTGAATGGTGATTCGAAAGATGTTTATTTTTGTATTTACAAAGTTGTAATATTTTTTATATCATGGTTTTGTAAAATTTTTAATTATGGTTTTGTAACATTTTTTATATCATGATGATTTTGTAATATTTTTATATGATGGTTTTGTGGTAGGTTTGACATGATATTTAGTACCCTAGGTACACCAGTTTGGTGCCTTTTGATAGTTTGCTATTATCCATTTTGCCATTCTGTTGTCTTTATTGTAGGTTATTGTATTGTATTGTTAAATCTGTATACAATGTAAATGTTTATGATTATGCATTATGCTTTCTGCCCAATCCTCAATAAACAAATGTGAGTAAAAAAAGGTTGTAAAGAAAGATGCTTAGTTTGAATTACGTCATTCACATTCAAATTTTGTTGTCACACTGGCAGTTTTGGGCCCTTCATGCCTATGTGTACTATACAAAAAAATAAAAATAATGTATTTTTGTTGATTTCAGATGTGGAAAAAGGCTTCACTCTGGCAAAGATGCCCCACTTTTTCTACAAGGACTTGGAGGAAGGAACAAAAGGATTTTCTCAGGCCAACCTTCTTGGAGAGGGAACGTTTGGCAGAGTCTTCCGCGCAAATGTCTTCAAGACCATCTTTGCTGTCAAGTGCCTACGTCAGGTACAGTTGATTTTAGTGTTGAATATATTATCATGGTGTTAAATGGCTGAATGGCCATTGATTACTTGAATGTATTCGAATTTCTAGCTAGACGTTAATGTTGTGTCCTTGAGACTATGATGGCAGCTTTCCTCACTTCTGTACTTGTACCTTTTCCCATCCTAAAAAGGAATCGAGGAGAAAGGCTGCTGTCAAAAGAAAAAAATCCAGAAATCACTTTGAGCTCCTTGAAACTTGAACTGATTTATTTGGCAGCTGTATAACATGTACATTATATACGCATTACAATTATAATGATCTAATCTAATTGCATCTATTAGGTGGATTGTATAATTAAGGAAAGAGTTTTAATTAAGGTGTACATTGTCGTTATCTCTCCCAGAATAACGAGGACATCACCCAGGAGCGTAATGGTCGGAAGTTCCAGTTTAATAAACTTGTTTAATTAGCAATTTTTTAATTAATGAATGAGTTCTAATTAACGTGTACATCATTGTAATCTTTCCCAGAATAACGAGGACATCACAAAGGAGCGGAATGGGAGGAAGTTTCAGTTTAACGAGCTGGCAAAGCTGATGCAGTTCCGACATCCGAACTTACTCCCCCTGCACGGCTACTCCGCAGACGGGATGGTTCCCTGCCTGGTCACTGAGTACATGCACAACGGCTCACTGGAGGACAGGCTGCAATGCAAGGTTAGCCTTAATCCTAACCCTAATCCTAACCCTAACCCTAACCCTAACCCTCTAACTCTGTCCTGCAACTTGCTATATAATGTAACCTGTGGTCACTGAGTACATGCACAATGGATCACTGGAGGACAGGTTGCAATGCAAGGTAGGATAATTTCTTTCAGAAATACAATGAGACAAAAAAGGTAGGTAGGTAAAGGTAGTCCCATAGCCTTTTTGAGGCTGTAGGGGCAGTGGGTTGTTGATCCACTGTGTCATTGGGTACGGTATTGGAAGGTAGAGCCTATCCCTCTCCTTCCACTGCCTTTTACCTCCCCAACCAAAGTCAGGTACCCATCTTTGCACCTAGCGCTCCGGAGTGAGTTGTGTAAAGGGCCTTTCTCACTGGTACAATATTCAGCCATGCCAGGAGCGCAAGGAATGGAACCTCTAACCTCTCAATCTCATGTACGCTAGCCTAGACACTCAGCTATACAATGCTACCTACATGTATTTACTAAGTTTAAAAACTGCCATGTTTCATAGTAAATGGAACATTCAGCCAACTGTTAATTGAAATTTGGAAACTTCTCTTTCTAGCACATATGTTAGTGGGAGCAACAATATTATAATCTTTATAAGCCTTTTGAAACCCCCTGCATCTGTGCCCCCAGGACAGAACAGCAGGTCTGAAGTGGGAGCTGAGAATGAACATCACCAAAGGTGTGGCCCGAGGACTGCAGTTCCTGCACACGGTCAAGGACCCGCCTCTCATACATGGGGATATCAAGAGGTATCACTCACTATCCAGGCTTTTATTATTCTGCTGCTAGTGTCCCTGCCAAAGGGGTCAGCAGCAGTCGGCTAGTAGTATGCTGGAGAATAATGCACAGGTCTTTCAGCACTAAGGACAGACACCGTAGCCTGCAGCCTTTGAAGTATTTATTGAGCAAGGAGCAGATGAAGATATAAAAATTATGTTGTATCCAGTGATAAATTTTCACTGAAATTTTTCTAATTCAGTACATACGTTCAAGGCACTGAATGGTATGACACCTGCGCACATCTCACAATACTTCACAACATCTGCTTCTACCCACTCACACAACACCCGACACAGTACACAGGGGGGGCTCCAACTACCTAAAGCACGTCTACAGTACAAAAAGAGATCATTTTCATTCTCCGGCACAGTTCTCTGGAACTCCCTTCCGCCACATGTAAGAAACTCAAAATCTATTAGTACATTTAAGACCAGACTTTCTTCCCTCACCAGTTAATTTGATTTTGGTTGAGTGATTTACAAACATTATGATTTTCCTTACCAGTTAATATGATTTTGTTTGTTTTATGCTTGTGAGATAAGTTCCATTGATATGCAAATTCCTTTCGCTTTAACTTATTTATGTTTGGTTGGATTCTTTATGTTACCTTATGATTAATTGCACACTTGTATATGGCGATTATTTTCTTCTTATTTATTATTGTATTTTATCCTCAGTTACTTTGTTTGTATTTTACTATGTTGGGGTTTACCCCCCAGGTATCATTGAAAAACGCCGACAAGGCGATATGTATCACCTGGATAAATAAATGAAATGAAAAATGAAATGAATATTGGATGGGTCGTCCCTTCTGCAGAATAGTTGTGACGTGTATGGGAGCCCATAATTAACAGAATACGTTTGTTCCTACAAACCTAGGAGGTAACATAACAGCTCAGATCAACTGTTTTGCCTGCAGTTTGCATCATTTTAGTAAGTTACACAATGTCTGCATTTTCGTTCCAGTTCCAACATCCTTCTCGACCGTCACTACGAGGCAAAGATCGGAGACTTCGGGCTGGCGCGTGACGGCCCGGGAGGGAGCCTGAGGAGCTATACGATAATGAAGACGGGAAGCAAGCTCATGGGCACGACTGCGTACATGGCGCCTGAGTACTGCCGGAACAAGGTCCTGTCACGGGAGGTCGACACCTATGCTTTTGGCGTGGTGAGTTGTGATTGGTTGACATTTTTTGCTAATACTGGTTGTGTTAAAAGTCATAAAGGACCACAGGAAGAATTATAGCAACTTTGTGGATCTAACTATTGATCAAACTTAAAAAGTCTATAGCATTGCCATACAGAGTTATGATTTTATTATGTTACTTTAATGATTACTGATGAAATAATCTTTTTCTTTAATGTTATAAATAAACATTTTTTAATGTTTTCCTCAGGTGGTGTTTGAAATACTGACTGGACAGAAGGCATTTGATGAAACAAGGGGGAAGAACACCAGAGTGCTGGTAGGTTTTTATTTCTTTGTTTTAGCTTTTGATTGATGTTTCTTACAACTGTAAACATAGATTCTTGTCTTAGCACTCAGTGTGACAGGCTGAATGAAAGTTCTAAACAGAACTATGCTGCTCCAGATGTTTTACTGGGGGAAGATTGCGTGTGCGAGATGTCGGTTAGCTTGGGGAATGAATCCTATGAATACCATATTGTTGTTTGCCTTTATAAGTCCCTGTTTGTTTGTTTATTTGATTTTTTGTTTAATGACCTTGTCTACGTCCACAGACCGACCTTGTGATGGAACACATGGAAACCAACGACCCTGACTTGACCTTGAAGCTTGTGGATAAGAAGACGGGGCGGACATCTTGGCCACGAGAAACAGCGCTGAGTCTGTTTGAAATCGGTCGGCAGTGTACGCTGCACAAGAGGAAGCAGCGGCCCAAAATGACTGACGTATGTTACTTAAACTTTGTCAGATCTTTCAACTATGGATAGTATGTAGTATGTAATTTAGTGTGTGTGTGTGTACTCTTATTTTGTTGTTGTCTTTGTTTATTTCTGTTGTTTTGTTCAATAAAATAAATCTCCCATTGAATAATTTGTACATGTATCTTGTTCTACACAGTCGACATGCTTTACAGATATGTAATAGTTCATGTTCCATGAAAATTAGATATGCGGCATATAGGCATACTATATACTAAATGTAGTACATGGGGGGAACATTCAGCACCAAGGACAGACCTGTTTATGCACTAGTTTTTACAGTAGAATGCTGCAATCATTATGGTAGAGTTCAGTAACATGGTCTTTTGTATACAACTGTTTCACAGTTTGATTTGAGGATTTGTAATATATTCGACTCAATACATGTTGAAGGTGACAATATATACTTATTAGGTGAGTATCTGTCTTGATGCACTAGTTGTCTGACTCTGGTCGTCTTCTTTTTCCTCAGGTGTTAAGTCGTCTTGAGCAGATGGAGGTGAGGAGGCAGCTGAGTAAGGAGGGAGTCAGCCTCATGTCTTCTCTATCATCTTCACCAGGTAACTTTTATATCATTCACTGTTTTGTTTCTCCTTTCAATTAGTAAAAGTGATTTCTTTTACTTGGAGTTAACGTGTATTATTTCTTTGATATCTTAATATACATTACTTAATATCAAAACATCTTTACACATTGCAACCAAGGCCATTATTAACTAGGGGTAGCTTCCTAGGACTTTTTTTACACATCTCCCTAGATTTCCTGTGGTAGGGTAAATTACTCTCAGTGTCAAGGGCTTCTTTGCAGGGGTGTCTTCCCTGTAATTTAAATTTCCCTTATTTGATTCTTCATCTAAAACTCTTAGTAAATGGAGTAATTTCAAATTGTAAAAAATGTTTTTCTTTTACTACAGATCTTTCCCGGAGAACACGGCAAGAGCCGCAAGAGAGTGACTCTCCTAGTCTGGCCAGCGGGTCTCCGATTGTAGGTCCCTCCCCACATCTGGCCAATCAGGGGTCCCCGATTCTTGGACCCTCCCCCAACCTGGCCAATCAGGGGTCACCAATCCTAATCAGACCCTCTCCACATCCGCTGCGTCAGTCATCACACGAGCCAATCGAATCTGACGAGCTGGCTTGGAGCAAGGAAGACAACAAGACAGCTAACAGAATTGTAAGATTCATGAAAAGCCCTATTATGTACGCAACAACTTTATTGAATAACAAACTACGCGGTAGTCCAAAGAACATGACAATAATCACGTGTGTAAGAATATGACTTCATAAAGATGAAAAGAATTATCACAATGTAACTGAAAATAAAGTTTTATAAGCATTATACAACCTTTAGCAAGTGTATAACATGTATATTGCTTATATGTCATGTCACAACTCAATTCATTGACATAACCAACATAGCTGCTTCTTTGTGACAACTTGAAACTGTTTTAAGTATATTTTAAAGGGTGCATGTGAATAAACCATTGTCTCTCTCTCTCACAACAAGGTAACTGTTGGCCATTGTGTCAACCAAAATGGTTTTCAGAGAGAAAAGATCATTTAAAATACACTTAAAATAGGTTCCAGTTGTCACAAAGAAGCAACTATGTCCATTTAGCTGAATTCAATACGTGTTAATAAATGATTCTCTCTCTCTTTCTCTCTGAAAACAAGGCAACTGTTGGCCACTGTGTCAACCCAAATGGTGGCCAACTCCCGACAGAGAGAGCAACAAGCCAGCCCAGCTACCCTTCACAGAGTACTATAAGTACTGACCTGGGGTCAAGCGATGTCGTCAGTCACCAGCAAAACGTGGAAAATCTCGCCGGTCCGCCCGCCCCAAATAAAGAGGACAACAATCTGCCGATTCCGTCAGGCAAGCAAGATCCGAACACGGCTATGGCTGGCAAAGAGCAGCTGAAGGATGAAGGGCAGGACAAAGGTGTTTGCCTGTTGTTATTAGCCTTTGTTGATGATGTATAGATAAATTTTAAGATATGCAACAGAAATTGTTTGTATTGACTGTACATGTATGATAATGCTGTAATTTTGGGGCAATGTAAATAGATATTGAATGATATCCTCAAGAAAACAGATACTGTATATATATACATAATATTATATTCTATTAGACAGTCAGTGACGAAAAGTAGCTGATGCTACTTGAAACATCTCACAGTTTTCAAATTCTGTCCAGTTCCCTGAGTAATTGTTTTCTGGAGTATCTCATTACCTGGATGTCTAACCTTCATTGACGTACATGTATAATATACATCATGATGTAGTTTTAGATCTTTTGATACTTATTTGATGTTTAACATGTTTTCCAAGGTTTGCCAAAGAAGGATGATCTCCCACCCAACCGACCAGTCGAGGCCTGGATGCCAGACAGCATCGTGAGAAACACAGACGGGGAGGGGGGCAAGTCTGCCACCCAGAAGACGCTTCCGCCCAAGGAAGTGTCCAAGATGTCTCCTCCTTCTTCTAGACATCTCGGGGTAAGGAAGCTGAGCCCTTGTGAGTCCGACGACTGTGCATCGATGTCCGGACCATCTAGACAGTCACCCGTCGAATTCCACGCGAAGGCAGACACGGAAAATGTGGTGAAGCCACAGGTTAACCAACCGGCCTCCAACATTCCTGCTGGCAATGCTGCAGTGAAATCGTCAGAAAAGCCTGCTGGCATCACACCGAATAGGGCAGAGAGACAGTCTGCAGGAAGGAATGGTGATTCAGTTCTGCCAGGTTTGTTTGTTTGTTTCAGGACTCATTCAGGAATTATTGACAATACAACCACTGCTCTTCCTGGAGTCCTCTTACATACATTGTAAAATACAAACATTATAGCTACTCAATCGTTTGTGCTTATAAACCTGCATTTCTCCTGGAATCCTTAGTCACAATAACTTAGTGTCACTGAAGAAAGGTATTGGATGCTACTTGAAAAGTCTGACCATTTCCAAAATCTTATCCAGTTGTTTTTTTGGCATATCTTATTACCGGGATGTCTACATTAAACGTAACTTTTGCACATTTATCCAGGTGTGACAGGTAGACCAGGTGAGGAGCATCAGAGGCAACACCTTCCAGTTTACCCACCTGGCTACAATCCACCTGACAACAGAGCTTCTGACTACGCCCAGTTTCCCAACATGGGGAGACACTGGGGCTACCCACAGCACCAGAATCAAGCCTGCGTGTCTCAGAATGGCCAGGCTGCAGCCTTCTACACACCAGAGTCACATTTCTACGGAGTGAGTCAACCGTACATGGGCCAGCCTTCGCCTGCCATGGCCCCAACTGAAGTGCCGTACTTGCCGCCTAACTACGTCCCATACGGGTACCACCCGCAGTACCCACCACAGTACGACGTTCCACCGTCACAGTCTCAAAGAGCTGACATGCACCAAGACCCCTACCCTCAGGTATATACAGCTTTTTCTTTTATTCACACGGATTTATGAGCATTTGATAGCAAGCACGTATATTGTGCTTTAAGATCCTTTGAACATGAAACATTCAAAATACAGGTTGAAGTAACATCACTAACAAATACAAAATGTATACAAAATGTATAACGAACGTAAGATGAAAATGTCTGGCACACCAATAGACATAATAAAAAAATATAACTTTTAGCAACTGTCCAAGATAATTTTATTGGCGTAAAATATGTATAACTGATTGCTTGTATGTCATGTTACAACTCAATACAGCTAAACCAACGTAGCTGCTTCTTTGTGACAACTGGAAACTGTTTTAAGTGTATTTTAAAGGTGTGCTTAGGCCACACCAATTTAATTTGTTGGTTCTCGGATTTTTTCAGAAAAAATATGAAGCGACAGGGCGAAAAAAAATAAAAATAAAAACAGGTCTAGGCATCCTATTATAGCCCCAAATGCTACAATATGAGCCATGAAGTCAACAAAAAAGGCTGGGTTAAAATTTAAAGTATAAATTTTGAACTTTTAATCAAACCACTGCATTGATAGATGGAAAAAACTGTAACAACTATGAAGAAAAGGAATTTCCTCAACTGTTGGGGGCAAAATATGAGCATTTTTGAGTTGATTCAGAACCAGAATCTTTTTTTTTTTTTTTTGCAAATCAGAAAAAAATGAAGAGGCGAATCCGAGAACCAACAAATTAAATTGGACAGGTGTGGCCTTAACTGTGAATAAACCATTCTTTCTCTTTCTCTCTCTCTCTCAGTACATTGCAGAAGCTCAGAGACTGTACCCCCACCATCCACCGTCAAGATTCCAGCACGTCTATCCTGCATCGCCGGACTCCAGCTGCTCTAACCAGCAGTCCACAGCCTCTTCCTCCTCTTCCTCCCAGTCTTCCATCTCCAGAGATGGATCCTCCAGCTGTACAACCTTCACAGACACCAGCAGCGGTCTGTCCAGCGAGACTACGGAAGAACCAAGCTCGTCAGACGCCGAAACCAGCTCCATGTCCCTTCCCGAAGTTTCATCGTCGTCATCTAGTAACAACCTTAGTCTTCCTCCGTCGGACGAACGTAGCTTCCAGTTTTCACCAAATGCGGCCCGCGATAGGCTTGTGCAGGACATTGAGGACTATTCTGAGGGTAGAATTGACTCTAAACAGTGCTTCGAGAACGTTCTGGCACCACAAAACAACGCCCAAGACGCGGAAGACATGAAGGCGTACATGGAGAGTAGGATTGACTCTGACCAGCCGTCGGAAAATTTGTCTTTGGGTAAACTCTCACTTGGTCGGTCTGAGAGTGTGAGCAGCAGGGAGCCTACAGAAGATAGCGATGACAGCACCTCTTGTTAGCGCTAAAGTTCTTCTGTATTCAACTTGGTAGAAGTTATAATTACAGAACAGGTTCGGACTATGAACAGCAATTTCCAACACAAGCAAATTTCTCTTTGGGTAAACTTTCGCTGGGTCGTTCTGAGAGTGTGAGCAGCAGGGAGCCTACAGAGGACAGCGATGACAGCACCTCGTGTTAGTGGAAGTCATTATGAAACAGGTTTGAACTAGAATACATGAAAGCATACTTGGACAGTAGAATAGACTCTGAGCAGTAATTTCCAGCAGAAGCAAATTACTTTTTGGGTAAACTGTCGCTGCGTGGGTCGTTCTGAGTCTGTAAGCAGCAGGGAGCCTACAGAGGACAGTGATGACAGCACCTCCTGTTAGTTTGAAAGTCCATGAGTGTGTTCTTGGTAGAAGCTATTACAGAACAGGTTCGAACTGTAATTTCCTAGTACACATTGCAAGCAATTGGACTTGCCCAAATTTTTAACAGTTTTTACCAGCACTTCTTCTGTTTATTGATAGCGGTTCTACAATATGTGTATGCTGTATTTGGTACCTGTAAAAAGGTAGATAATGATAATACATGTATATTATAATATGTGACTGTATACTACAACAGGGTATGAAATAATTTCTTGTTGGGTTGTGCCTCTACAGATTGGACGTAAGGGGTTGTATCGCCTAGATAGAAGAAAAAAAAACATTGTACTTTTATTTTTATTAAGAGTTTCCTTTTGATTTGAATGTTGGCCAATAGCTGGTTGCCATGTTATCTTTAAGCAAGAATCATATTTGTACAACTGTTACAGCTTTAGATAGCTGTAGTATTAAGTACAGAAAAAAGAGTGTTCATGTATAATTATTATATGATATATTAATCCGGGACTGCTACCAGTATATGTATCTGTAAGATAGGTGGTTTTGCATCGTATACTATAGTATAGAATGGTCAGTATATGACTGGCTTTTATACAGTCGTGTATTTTGTAATTATAGTAATATTAGTACCAGCAGTTACTGTAACTGTTACAGTTCGTGGTATCTTATACAATTTGGAAAATGAATGTAGGCAACAGTGCCTCTAAACTTGGATGTGGAATCCATGGATGAATATATGAGTTATGATATTTTCTACATTGAAGGCTAGCAGGTTCTAGCCGAAAGAGCGGTCTTTATAGCGATATTAATTGATAAAGGCAAATGAAATGAGCTTGTGCATGGGATGTTGAGGCTGCTTTGCAAGGAAGAAAAGGGTTAACTGTATGAAACAATATATTAGATGATTTATAGATGTCATAGTCAGTATACAATGCATATTGTTTGCTTTGACAGTAGGATAATGCAGTGCCATAATATTTGGGTGAATGTGAATGCATGTAGGATAATCATGATCTTTTATATCGTCTCATTCCAATGTTTTATGTTTTTCTAATTTCAAATGAAGACTATAAATGCTGCATGTCAAATTTAAAATGTACCGGGGTAAACAAACCCTTTTTCTGTGGAAGGGATGTTCTATCTTTGTTGGAAACTGTAGTTTACCTGTTGGGACTGAATTCATATAGGCAAGGACAGAATGAATTCAAAAGTGACTGCTGATGTTTGGTATGTTAAAACTATATATTACGATATATATAGCTACTTCTGCCTCATTCCAAGTAAACTATAATAGTTCCAATTGTTAAATGTGTCAGCATTTGTTCTTAGGACTTATCATTTCATTTTCTTTTTTTTCCACGCACTTGCACTAGAAAGAAAGATAATATATGAATTCAAGATCTCCAGAAAACCATTCAGATCAAAAGTATATTATTTTCAACCTCTTGTAACTACTTTTATTTACTGAATTCTCCACAACGTGTCAGACAAGTCTACAGCAACATTATTTTTCGTGAGTCGATTTTTTCTTATTTTTGTATAGAATTACAAGAGATATTTTTCCGAGACATTGAAAAATACAACAGAATTAACATTCATAGTTACTCCTTCAACTGAACCAACATAATTATATATTGAAAGTTGATGTGCTTTGATTCAAAATTAAAATTAGGCAGAAACTAGAAACCAGACAGCTATGATATATATACAAATGTATATATATATATATATATTATAATACTAGAGCTAACTTTATTTCTGCATATGCATGTACAATTCCAAAATCGGGCCTGGGGAAAATCCAAGATCTCAAAAACGTATTTCCAAAAAATTAGTACGTGTGACTTACACACACAGATAAGGTCATAACAGACTGAGGTTTTATTTTGTGTAAATCTTCAATCTCTGTAATTCCTAAAACATGTCCTATAATTACATGTGGAGCAACACCAGACTTTTTGTCACCCAATGCCACTCACAAATGATCAACATCCCAGTTTTATGCACCTAAAGTAGCACAACAGAAGAACATACTGAGTCAAACACGGCTTTTTCATGGTTTTCGTAGGATGAATTGTTAAATGTTGCAGACGATATCTTTCCCGGTACAGCATGTAATCCTTAAAGATTACTTTAGAAGAGATGTTCTGCCAAAGTGCTATGAACAATACTGGTACAGTTACAAGTTTCGTGCACAGTACATTCTGCTGAAATGCTACCTAAATTCATGTACATGCACCTAAAGAATACCACGTAAATAAATTGTCTGTAACACACGGAGTAATTTACAATATTCCCATATTTGTTTCAGTGTGGACAGGATTACATTTAAAAGTTGATGGGCTTCCCGGCGTAGGCGGCCATGTTGGCTTCTCTGAAGGCTTCCGAGCACGTCTGAAAGATGCAAAACAAATTTTATCAAAGACATGCTTTAAGCAAGCATACACTTGGGTAAATACATTTGACACCAGCTAACTGCATGTTGGCCGATCGCAAAACTACATTGAATTTTTAAAGCCCCCAAAAAGCTACAGAAACAAAACAGCAAAAATGAACTAAATTTTTTTTAATCCTATTCCTTTTTCCTATCAAAAAAGAAAGCAAAACACGTGTATTACAAACAGTCAAAGGGAATACGAGTTTGCCTCACTGGGTCAGTCTACTGAGGAAGACCAGAGTGACTGGTCAAAATCTCTATATGTGTAAGTGAGAGGACCTCTTTGTGTTGGAGCTAAAGTTTTAACTTTAAACATGTACATATTAATGTAACTACCCACACAGAACCTTCGTGATAGTATAAGGTGAGCATGCGTGTCCTAGACCTACCGGATGTGCGTGGCAGACCCTAGCGACGTCCTCGCACGATGCTCCGTACTCCATCGCCAGGGCGGCTTCGTTGATCATCTCCCCGGCGCCCGGGCCCATGATGTGAGCTCCCAGCATCCTGTCTGTCTCCTGATGGGACAGGATCTTCACCAAACCGTCCGTGTCGGCTGCAGAAAACACACAACATGTGAACCACACATAGAACTACAACCTTCCCCATGCAATCTCTGTCAGCAGCGGGAAACACAAAAAAATTACAGGCCTGGAAATCCTCTTTTCTGAACATTGAAAATTACCTGCACCAGACAAATTTTACCAGCGCCACTCAGAAATTTAGGAAGTATGGATCACACTAAAAAAATTACTATTCAGAAACCATCGACATTTTATACTTCTTAGACTACAGTCAATGTGTCGTTATGTGGCTCATAAAAATACAGAATACACCTTCCGGTAGCACATGTATATATTCACATACTTACCGTTACACTTTGCCCTGCTGTTGGCTGCAAACGGGAACTTCCCAACCTTGTACGGGACTCCCTGTGGGCAAGAATATGGTTAGCAGGGTTCTGAATTCATTTGTAGGAACAGAAATTTTAGAATTTAGAATAGAATAACAATAGAATAGAATTTAGAATAGAATAGAATGTAGAATGGAATAATTATATAAGAATATAATGGACTGAATAGAATAGAATTTAGAATAGAATTTAGAATAGAATTTAGAATAGAATTTAGAATAGAGTTTAGAATAGAGTTTAGAACAGAATTTAGAACAGAATTTAGACTACAATTTAGACTACAATTTAGAATAGAATAAAATTTAGAATAGAATAGAATAGAATAGAATAGAATAGAATAGAATAGAATAGAATAGAATAGAATAACCTTTTTAAGTTTAGTAAGTAATACTTATTCCATTGTGAGTACTTAAAAACATTACTGTCTCTCTTGAGTGCTTGAATCTCATTCTATATGATCTAATGTTTAAACATCTGGTCAGGACTTTTATACCTATTAAACAAGTAAAACTGGTACAACAGACCTCTTCCTTGAGCATCTCCTCACTCTTGCCGACCCAGGCGACCTCCGGATGTGTGTAGATGACAGAAGGAACACAGTTGTAGTCGATATGGACAGCTCCACCTGCTATGCCTTCTACACAGATGATACCTAAACACAGAACAATCCAGTGTTTTTTAAGAAAAAATATGAAGCAACAGGATGAAAAAAATCTATCCTATGATAGCCCCAACAGCTACGATAGGAGCCATGAAGGTAATATTCCAAGCCGGTTTGTAAAACAAACATTTTTGAAATTTTCATCAAATCAATGAAATGACACATAAAAGTCTGAAAAAAACTGTAGCAACTATTAAGATAAGCACTTTCTTCACCTGTATATCATAAGATAGATTGTAGATATAAAAGAGATATGCTAAATCTACATTACCGGGGCACGAAGTTGAAGTGCAAGAAATGTGATAAAAGCTATGAATTTCTACCTTTCACGAAAGTAAAACAGAAGTACACACCTTCATCCTCTGCCTTGTGGGCCAGCATAGGTCCAGCAATACAGTCTCCAATGGCAAATACACTGGGAACAGAGCATACTATTGTTAAAACATATACTTCAAAAAGTCACAGTTACATAGCAAAATGAGCAACAGTACAAACTGAAGTCAAGGCAACACCTACAAATGTAAAAGGTCAACAAGAAACCTGTGTATTATGGCATTTATGTACAATTTGTACCTGTTATTTTCCATATTTCAGAACTTGTACTACACATGATACCAAATTCATCCAGTAACTGTTGCTTGATTTGCTTCATAATATGCAATTGTTCTAACCGTCACTGACGGTACCACTACTACATGTATAGTTAGCCCTTAAGGATATTAGCAGTATCTTATATTAGTCACAAGAGGATAGTGCAGCAGACAGACTGACCTGGGCACAGAAGTCTGGAATCTGGAGTTGACAGGAACTCTGCCTCTCTCATCCAACTGGATACCAAGGTCCTGACAACAATGGATGGATGTTACTTACTTACAAGTTACAATACACTGTACATAGTGATGCATACCGGTTCACTGGACTTGGATCCGGACTTGTAAGAATGTTTAGGTTCAAGTCCAAAAAAACCTAAAGATCAAGAACCGAGTCCGGACTTATTACCATAAAAGACCATTTCACATACCCCTTTTCTTTCCAAACCACCTAAAACCTTCCGTACATTGTAAAGTCTTTGCTGCAAAACGAAGAAAACATTGCCATCGGGCATCGTCAAGTACCGGCCTCCATGTTATGTGGGCAAAGTTTCACCCAGACAACATTGCAAGGTTGCCAACATGCAATTTCGTATATGCCATGGGTTTAGGTTCGGACTTACAAGTCCGGAACTGGACCTAAACCTCTGGACTTGAATCCGGACCTGAACCTAAAATTAGGTTTAGGTATGCACCACTAACTGTACATATCTGATATCTGATCTGATCATACCTGGCAGGACTAAATGGTAATAAAAATGAAGTGTTCATGCAATGGACAACACATTGGTTTGCCTTTTATTAAAGAAACATATTTCCCTGACCATTTGAGATGCATCTTTACCAACTTAAATGAGGACTGACTTTGGCAATTTAGCAATGACTATTTCATACTTTTCATACTATTACACTATACTATGACTGGTGCTTTATACTATAACATTGTAGGAAAGCCATACTGTAGACACCTGTCAGGTGAGTATACAAGTGTTAAACTTACCTCCAGTCCCAGGTTGTTTGTGTAGGGTCTCCTTCCTATACACACCAACAGTACGTCACACTCAAGCTGCAGGGGGGAATACACATGTACATGTATGTTAGCAGGAGTAAAAAGTTACAGAATGATCATGGAAATTTTCTGAAGACTGAATAACTCAGATTAATCTCTATTTTTTTTCAAATACAGTCTAAAATACATTCAACTAAATGTAACATTATCGCCTTTTGGAACAGAAATAAGACCAACAACACTTACTGTTTCTTCCTTGTCTCCCTTCACAGACTGAACCCTGAAAAAAAAACATAAGTCCAAGTCAAGAAAAAGCTATCATCACAACTTCGCAATAGAGCCAGACAAAGCTTTCAATGTGGTCACAATGGAAAGTCTGTCTTTGTGTTATCTTAAAGTTTAAACCGTTTTCTGGGGAACTACTTAGCAACCTCAGGGAGGCAGATTCCTGTTCTTTTATTGCAAGTAGCAAGAAGGGACTTTGATTCAACTAAACTAAAATATTGCACATGTACAAGAACCTATTACAAAACAAGGTAGTTTGTTAGTGACTGACTACATTACTGCTAGTTTGTGTTGACCTTATTTGACCTCTATGACCCAGGTTTGACCTTACTTGACTTCCACGACGCCGTCATCTCTCTTGGAAGCGCTGGTGACCTTGGTGTTGAGCTTGAAGTCCATCCCCTGCTTCTTCAGGATTCTCTGGAAACCCTTCCTGTAGAGTCATCAAAAAATACAACTAAAACTTCATCCAGATCTACATGTAAAACAAGAAATCTGTTTAATGTTTCTGGTGTTGAGCTTGAAGTCCATGATTCTCTGGAAACCCTTCCTGTAGGGTCATCAACAGCAAAACTTTAACTTCATCCAGTACTAGAACAAGAAAAATACAACTTTGGACAATACTTAACTAAGTTGAGGCTAGTGTGAATAAATAAAGATAAAAAAATGTTTGCAGAAGTACAGACCAGTGCACTTGCAATTAGGGACTCAGATGTATATTGTTCAAAGAGCACGATAAAAATGTGACAAGCAACATGAAGTCTGCTGAAAGTTACAGTAAAGCCATTGCCAGATTATGTTCATTACAGTGCAAGATTACAAACAATTACACAAATTAAGAGTATACAACTGAAAAAAGTTAAATCATCATTGCTATTAAAACCCAGCTAAGTACATACAAAGCTTGCTGCAATTACAAAATAATCAACCAGCTTCTCAGCTTGACACAAAGACAGAAACTCACGAGATCTCCATGTCGATGCCCATCCCTCCAACATGACCCAGGAACTCCACAGCTGTCACCTTTGACCCTAACCGACCCCACACTGAACCCTGCAAACAAGGTCAAAGGTCACAGGTAAAACTACAATGCGTCAAAAAAATGACCGTCTTTTAACAACCTCATTGACAAGTACTTTTCAAATCACTTCATCTGACAAATTTTAAGTTCTTTTGTCTTTATGTCAGGAAAGATATATTCAAACAATTGTCCTATTATTAGTATTAAGAAATAAGAATCCAGTCTATAGTGATTGATTTTATCAGTCCCCTGAGTGGTCTTCTTGGACAACTTTGACTGTGCATTTCTCTGTCTCTCTGGTTTATCGTCTGTTGTTCCCCGTAACGAGGGTTAGACGTGTTTGCACAGTGATACTGGGGCCTGATGATAGCTTGCAATTTGCCTCTTTCCTGTGGTTCTTGGGCACAACAAATGTCAATACTCCTGCGGGTTACACATATCAAAATAAAACGATGGAAGTACATGTACATGTAGTCAAACCTACCAGTTCCACCCCGATGACCCCAGCCCCAATCTGGATCATTCTTTCTGGGACAGACTTCAGGCTCAGGGCTCCGGTGGACGATACGATAGACTCTTCATCAATCTGAAATAACATACATGTAACAGATTTAAAAGTAAGCAAAACTTCCACAATGAAGTAACTCTCACAACCTGGAACTGGAAGGAATTCCATTGGAAGTATGAAAGCACGGTTCTGGATAGTCCATGCATGTCCAGAACCGTGCCTGGGGCAAATCTACGTCCTTGGATATGCAGAGACTATCCAGAACTGTGCCTGATCCAAACCCTAACCCATTCAGCCATAGAACTAGATAGGCACAGATCTGGATACACAGAGACTATCCAGAACCGTGTCTGATCCTAACTCGAACCCATTCAGGAATAGAACTAGATACGCACAGTTCTGGATACGATAGAGCTTCTTACCTCAATCCCCGGGAAGGGCGTGACCTCTGACCCCGTGGCGATCATGATGTTCTTGGTCTTGACCACGTCCTGACCCCCGTCGTCCTTCAGGACGGTGACCTCATTCTGACCTGTGATCTTCCCGTGACCGGCCAGGTGTGTGACCTGGGGGGGGGGGGGGAGGTCAGAGGGAACAATGTGAAAACTACTGTCATTGTTCAAAAACCGTCATAAGAATCCTTGTCGGACAGCAGCATTTTAACTGGTCAAATCTAAAAGTAAGGAAAGACAGTCCTAATTGTGAACATGTGCTAACCTCAAATCTTCATAGTTTGGTTATTGTTCTAAATATGTTATGTGTAAAATTGAATAAAGAAAGACAAAAAAACTGCATGCATGATACTTAACAGAATTCTGTCATTTCAACAAGAAACATTCCTTTAACATCTTACACCACCAACACGTCCCTCGGAAGGGACATTTAATGGAGGTTCTATGTTTGAAGAGTCACACCACAAGCACGACACTGGGGCCTGCCAGAGATTCGAACTCAGAACCTTCAGCTTCTGAGTCAACAACTCTCACCACAAGCCCACCTTTCCAATAAACAAACAAACAAACAAACACAAACAAACAAAGACCTTGTTCTGTTTGAAGAGATGTGCGATGCCTCCAGTCAGAGCCTTCACAGCTGTGGACTTCTGGGACATCATCTGTTCCAGGTTCAACCTGATGCCGTCAACTGGAGGGGTCAGAGAGCATAGGTCAGGTCGGGTTGGGTCGGGTAAGGTCAAGTCATGTCAAATCAGGTTATGTCAAATCAGGTCAAATCAAGTCAAGTCAAGTTAAAATGTAAAGATAAATGAACATGTCGTGCCATAGCCTTTTTGAGGCCATAGGGGCAGCGGGTTGTTAGTCCACTGTGTCTAGGGCACGGTATTGGAAGGAGGACCCATCCCTCTCCTTCCACCGGCTTTTACCTCCCCAACTGAAGTCAGGTAACCATTTTACACCTGGGTGGAGTGAGTAAAGTTGTGTAGAGTACCTTTCTACCTCCCCAACCAAAGTCAGGTACTTCCTATTTTATGCCTGGGTGGTGTAACGGATGTCTGAAAAACTAAAGCTACTTACATTCGATGCCCCTGTTGGCAAAGTCCTTGCCATGAGCCATGTGATACAGGTGGGAGTTGTTCAACAAGGCCTGGGGAGGACAGACAACGTCTGTTAAAACACATGGATTTTTTTGTTGTTGTTGTTCAAATAATACATATATGTATATTAAAACAGTGTTGTTCTTAACACAACTACATTTTTGATGTCTTGAAATGTGAAAAAAAATCTGTTTGCAACAGTTACTAACAGACAAGCATGTTGGCTAACTAGCACATCACCCCTGTCCTTGGTACTGAACACCACATCTATACTGTGGACACAGACAGACTGTATAATACTCTCACAAGGGTCAATCTTACAAATTGCATTTTTGTGTGAGAGACTGCAACTATACTGCAAATATGATGAAATTGACAGAATCAATATACAAAGAATTGAGTTTGGATACAAACTGATTTTCCAACTGACCTTGGATGGTATACAGCCTACGTTGAGACAGGTTCCACCTAGAGTAGGATTCTTTTCTACACAGACAGTCTGGAAATGACAAGAACAAATTCAGCATTCTGAAGTATAGGATTTGTAGAAGTGGCCATCCAATAGGCAATATGAAATGTAATCAAATACATGTAATCTCTGATTTAAGAGATATATCAGTCACCTATTTGGAAAAAATACATTGTACAATCACATACTGAAATATACAAAAATTGGCAAAGTTGATACAATCTTCAAGGCTATTATAATCTATCCTAGACTGACAGAAAAACTGAGATATAACATTTTAAGCCAAAAAATCGTACATGGGCTGACATAGAGAAAATAATCACAAAGTTGGAGTGATATATACAAAACATACAGTGGACATAAAATGAAAATGGCTGTTATACTATTATACTTAGTCTAGACAGATAGAAAAACTGATAAAAAATTCAAAGCCATAAAATGGTACACAGCCTGACCTTCATGCCGAGCTGAGCAGCTTTAATGGCTGCCACATAACCACCTGGTCCTGAGCCTATAACCACCAGGTCTGCCTCTGCACAGGGAACAGAGGAGAGTTACATGGGGAGGTATTATCATTCACATCTAGCAATATCAAATGTTAACATGTGAAACAGTTTAAAACAGCTTACTAAAAACTGCATGGTAGTTGTATGGCAATCACTCGAGATCTTTATTTGCAATCAGATACAGATTCATGTACAGATACAGATTTTCAGACTACAATGACTGTGTCAGTTTCTACATCTGAGTGAGGAGGGTAGACACGGTGGCCTTCGCGATTCTTTTTTTCTTTAGGTACACAGCTCTAACTCAGGAATGTGTACTAGTGTGGTTGTACTGACCTGCTGCATCTGAGTAGTGCCTGCATCCTGCTACAGTAATGGACGGTCCCCGCTGGGAGACACCGGACACTCTCAGCACCTTAAACACAACAGAAATGCACTTCAGAAAAATCCAAGTTTTTATAACTTTTAGTAGTTTTCTGTGAATAGTTAACTGTTTCATCAGGTTGGTAAAATACTGAGCAAAGAGACTTTTTTTACACATCCAAGTCTTTTACTCAGTACCCTTCCTCAGGGCAATTCTGACTGGTTCACATCGCATTGCATTACAGGTGTCGCTGCTAACAGATGCATTCCCATTTTAGTAGTTTTATATGTTGTAACGTTACATAATAATATGCGTATTACTTTTAGAGTATTAGTAGAATTAATGTCTTCACTGTTACTTCACTATATATACAGAGTACCATACACAGATATGCACCAGAACGGTGTTTTGCGGATTTAGTCTGTCTAACTGACATAAAACACAACTCTAGGAAAGTCTATGATGCAACGTACGTGATGAGAGGCACGTTGTAGTTTAGGCAAATTTCTCTGTGAAAGACTATTTAAGACTATGGCAAATGATTGCAATTTTAGGTGTCCTAAGTATTACACAGTCTTATGAAGTAAAATGGTATGACAATGACGGCGTTATGTCCTTATTATCGCGTTTAATCGTCATGACATTGAACTTTTAGTGAACGACCAGCAAAGTGGGGAGGGGGGCGTCATGCCGGAAAGTTACGTCACGTTTAGAAGATCGAACTATTTCCCTAAAATTATGCACGTCAAATTCACAACACTTGAACCTATTGCCTCCTTCATTCTTTGGTATCTATCAGACGCTTGGAATAAGGAGTTAGGTGTCTTACTCTGGCTGCTTGAGACGACAGACGACACCAAGACTGCATCTTGCGCCTGGCTCCGAATCCAAGATGGCGGAAGGTGAACCGCTGCGCACGCGTAGTGACCCTGCGATCACCTGTCGTGCCGGATCTATCCGCATGGTGGCGCTGATGTACAGTGTGTGTGTGTGTGTGTGTGTGTGTGGAATCTTGTTTCAGTACCAAGGTTAGCCTCCATAGCATGCCAAAAACTGGGGACTTGGGGGGTCTTCAGGGTCTTTGGGAGCTTTTATGTGCTATTTTCTGATTGCATATGGACAACATAGCCGGCCTGGTTGAATTAACCCCCGTTTTTAGAACTGGGCTAATCAGAAAACAGCTGAAGACCACCAAACCCCCGGTTCTATAAGCCTGCTACGGAGGCTACACCAAGGTTAGGTAACTCCTAGCGTCCAAAACTGTTAAAAACCGGGCTTTTAAAACACCCACTTCCAGCTATGTAGATGCTAGAGCTATAATAAAACAAGAAACACACAATAAACACACAACATCCGTCTATTGCTATTGTATGGATTGTTGTATTGTGACTGAATGCTGTAACGTTAACCACTAGTAACTGTAAATGTTAACGTTATATTGCCAAGTTTAACAGACAACCTATCACAGTTGAATACTACAATGATAGTAAAACCTTTTCAGTTTGCACATACTATTATATTACTATATAGGAAACAGACTGTGTACAATATACAAACATGGTCTATATTGGGAAATTCTATACCTGTATATTACACAAATATATAGTTTGATCCTATTATAGTCTTGGCTGAACTATCGTGTAACCTGTATCTTTTTTAATTACTTTGAACACCCTTATACCGATGGCACTAACGGCAATTAAACAAGTGATATTCAGTGATATTCAATATATAAATACATGTAGTAGAAAATGACGTCCACTTTATTGTTGAGTGTCCACTGTACAGCGATCTACGATCTACCTTTGTTTCTGAAATAAAGTTAGAACAAAAATGGGCACACCTAACAAAGGATGATATATTCATACAAATATTGTATTCAGTTAACTATGTTGTATTAGAAAAACTCTGTGAATTCGTATACAAATGTGTAGGCTGATTTAAGCATAAACAACGGCTCAAACAAACAAACAAACAAACAAACAAGTTTTGGTTTTTCAAGTTAGCTGTTGTCTACAGGGTTGTAGTAGGGAGGAGCTGAATTTTCCCTCGGTCTCGCCGTCGTTCACCATGCAAGCCTTGCTCAAGCTAACGGCTGGAGTTCCTGCCGCTGCGCATGCCCGGCGCTTGACTGGCGAGGAACAAGCATCACGTCATCTGCTGTGACGTCATCTGTTGTGACGTCATCATCATCATCGTCATCATCATCATCATCTTCATTATCATCGTCGTCATCATCATCGATGTAGACCTGGACGTTTCCCGTTTGGTCTTCGGATTTTTCTTCTGAAACAAGTTCCCATGCTTTCATTTTTTCTTTGCATGCATATATTGTAAGTGCATACGAGTACAATGGGGCGTCGGGATCGGAAACTACGTTCCTAAATTAAATTTCGTTTGCAAGAGAGAAAGGAAACGTAATGTTTTTGTGCTCTGTTTCGTCTTCTTCCGTTCAAAACAGACAAGGTCAATGACCTGCACCAGACGTCAGTCACCATGGTAACTGGTGCCGTAGAAGACACCCTGTGGCGTCGTGTTACATGATTGTCGTTGCGAACTGCAAGACAGAGTTGGACTAGCGTCACCTTATATGGAAAGTTTATTGCAAATACATGCCCGAGGGCTAATTGCAGTTACAAACAACATAAGAAAGAAAATACATTAAAATACAGTGGTATGTGAGACTATATCTACGTCTAGCATTATACTATATTCTACAACATGCATGGTACTAGTTTTACTTATATATAGTGGTGTGTTTGGGTATGGATGACCAGAGCAGTAGTTTGTACCCCTGATTTTCTGTTGATATTTCTGTACCCTAATTCTCTCTTTTGTACTACTCATATTGTATTATCAAATCAGAGAACCCACATATTATAGACGAAATGGGTAAATTCGTCTCCCACTGTCTGAAAAGAAGATGTCAAACCCAACAAAATACCACGTATGTTGTAGAATGTAGTATCACGTAGACTCTCATATCATTGTACCTTCTTTCACATAAATTTTGTCTGTATTTGCAATTAGCCTTCGGGCATGTATTTGCAATGAATTTTCCATATCAAATGGTGTCTACAAGCCCACACGGGCTGGGCGCGCGAAGCGCCCCACACGGAAATAAAGTCACATTCATTCACTGGCTGCAAGGCTAGACCACGGGAAGGTAAACATTATGCATTTTCTTTTCAAATGTTAAATAATAATTTCACGGCTCTCGGCGGCAAATGTGCTGATGTTGACACATTGGCGCACCAAATCTACAGTGCGTTTTTGGCACACAGTTAGACAGATTAGCCTAAGAGGCTCGGTGGGCGTCACTCCACCGTGCAGGTTTGCAAATGTTATACCCACATGATTCAGTTTACCTTCTGTTTCAGCTTGCTTTTTCGCCTTAGAACGGCACCACTGCCACAGCTTGTACGCTCCAGTTCCGATAAGTATGGCCAGTCCTACGATCAGGGCCTTGAGTAAGATCCTGGTTACGAAGTAGGTGCCAGGGTCTATGGATACTTGGTGCCTGTTGTGAGTAGTGGAACCACCGACGTCCATATCGTTGTTTCCGTTTCCCTCAAAAAACATGGTAGATCTTTTTTTGGTGGCTGCAAGATGGTATCAAACTGTCAAGACTGAGTGTCAAATTCTAACAGAACGTACAGTATCCAAAACACCACCGAAAACAAAGATACCGGTACAAAAAAAAACAGAAAATTACCTTAAAAGACGTCCAAAGTAGGCGGAAACGTGAAGTTCTGTTTGGAGAGTAGCTGAATTGGCTTTCGCGTCAGCAGAGGTGGTTAGACCACTTTTGAAGGTCAGGGACCTGTGATGACCCCTACTGTCGCGGTCTTAATGTCAGCCAACGTGATTGAGTCATGGCAAAAACACAAAACAAGACAATACTCACTTTCACTTGAGTTAAGTGCGGAACGTCCTTTCCCAAGGGCACAAGCGACATTCTGAGCAACACTATTCCTTATTATTTGAATGATTATGATATAGATATGTTAGGTTTTATTCGACATTAGGTCTTACTCAACACACTTATTTTATTGTTGTTACTCTCTTTATGTAGTTTGCCATACATTGTACCATGTGCAATTGTCTTGCAATAAAGTTCTTCTATATTTATTGATTGAATGTCGACTGGCAATGTCACATTAAGTGCATGAAATGTGTCGAGTGTTTACAACTTGCGCCTGATTATTACAAATAGATAGCATAAAATCCTACATATTATAATGTTAATAGAGATAGGAAGACGGCGCAAAGCTCTCGTTCTAACCTCGTACCATCAAAGAGTGGAAGGAACTTGAGCCTGGTGTGGTGGAGGCGGGGTCTCTCGCCTAGTTCAAAACTGGACTGGCGAGGACCCTGCTGCATTGAGTCGCCCCTACACGTCTTGTATATATATATATATGTATGTATACGTATATGTATGTATATATATATGTATTATATGTTTTACTAACACACTAAATGCACTGTCTTGGCTTACACCAACAGATTCAGTTATTTACTTTCCTTAGTGTTCCCTCCTTCAGTTACCCTTGTTTTATTTGTACCGGTCACCTGTTTTGTAAATAACACATGTGCAGCTGCTCGTAATCCGATGCAAATCGGGCTAAGCAGTATATAGATGAATGAAGATCTTTATTGTACACACATACCCACTGGGTTAAGCACAGGTCACAACAAAAGGATGGAATATAGATAACGTTAATCGTCAAGTAGCTAAAATCAAGTAAATTCGGTTTCTTATCGTTTCTTAGTAATGGCAAAAAGGTAAGAACAGATATGTTTCAATATAAAAGGTTTGTCTAAGCTCATTAGAAATATAAATTTATCTGTACAGCTTAGATGTATGAAGAAGGGGAACATAGATTGTATCAGATTGTAAAGATCTACTCTCTCTTTGTGGTATAGTTTACATTCTGTTACAAAATGAGTATATAGGATGAAGAGGAAGTCATGGTACAAGTTCTAGATAAGTGTCGTCTACCGGCTCGTATGGAGTGAAATCGTCTCTTGCGATGGGCTCTACGTACCCCTCTTCCCGGTCATTCTCATCTAGGAAAACAGAAAATATACTTAGTAATAATTTCTTCATTTTTTAAAAGTTAGATCTTTTGTTCCAACACAAAGAAGTGTTTGAGCTAGTGTGGACGTCACACTTCAAAGAAGCCACGTGACAAGCCTCGGTGGGTCAGTCTACTGAGGAAGACCAGAGTGACTGGTTGAAAGCTCTAGGTGAGAGAACGTCTTTGTGTTGGAACAAATGTTTTAACGTTAAACATGTAACACAGATGAACTTAATATCTATCAGGCACCTTCCTACATGTACATCGGCTACATCTAGCGACGAGAAGCAGAAGCTCTGAGGAAGGTTTCTGATACTAGAAACGTAAGCTAGGTAAGACCATCTTGGTTGTTTTAACTTGTGTGAAAGAAAACTCCTGTGTCCTATGATGACTTACCGCCGTGCTCCATACCTTGGTACTGGGCCAGCCGGAGTTCCTGGTACTGACCGCATGGCCGGCAAAGAACAGGCCAGCCCCTCTAATTCTAGATCTGTTCTGCCATTTGCTACATAATGTAACCCAACACCAACGGGTGTCTGCTACAGCCCCAGTTACCATGGTGACAGCCGTCTGGTCCAGGTCATTGACCCTTTCTGTTTTGAGAAGAAGAGGAAGAAACGAAGGTAAACATAACACCTCACCGCCGTGCTCCAAGCCTTGGTACTCTGCCGGCCGGAGTTCCTGGTACTGACCGCTCGTCTGGCGAAGAAAATGCGGCGCGCTTTCTGTCGGGACGTCGTCGTAATGGACTCGGACGGTCCCCGTCTGGTCTGGGCGAGGGAGCGGGACCGGTACCAAACGCACCGCGGTGGAGTTTTCTCCTGCAACATTGTTAACAATGACACAAACGTTATGCATGTTTCGTCCATGAAGGTCAGACATCCAGGTAATACGATACACCAAAAAGCAGTTACTCAGGCAACTGGATATGATTTTGAAAACGTCAGACGTTTCAGCTAGTCACTGACGAAAACTGCTGAAACGTCTGACGTTTTCAAAATCATATCCAGTTGCTTGAGTAACTGCTTTTTTGGTGTTTCTGCATGTTTGTTTCGAATCTGCATATCTGATGTTTACCCTGCACTTATCTTGTAATCATTCTACCTTAAGCTATATAAGTTTTCTTCTGCAAAATTGTTTATTGTTCCTTGTCAGTTTGCACTAAAAAAGACACCAATATGTAATGAATTATGTACATGATGTACATGAAAGTATGTACATAAAACATGATGTAACCCAACACTAGTTACCATGGTGACAGACGTCTGGTTCAGGTCATTGACCTTATTTGTTTGGAGAAGAAGAGGAAGAAGAAAAATTGTCCATTTTTTACCTTCCAAATCAGCCTGCCTTGAACTTTGGCCCTTCGGCTTGGAGCGGCACCACTGCACCAGCTGGCTCACCCCCACTCCGAGAATGAACCCGACGACTGCCGTCGCTATGGCAACTCCCGCCAGAACACCAGGCCCCACTTTCTCGTCTGAAGGCACTTTCCGGCTAGGCCGACTGCCAACTTCAACCGGATGATGACTACTCAAATTTTCTAAACGGACGAAAACATATAGCCTCAACCAGGCCTTTCTACGGGAATACGGATCGTAGAATTCGGCAAAAAAGAGAGTGAAATTGGCCAAGGGAGTCCGGCCGCGGGGAGGTAGTTTCTTTCCTAGTGCGGCCAGTCAAACCTACAAGGCGGCCAAACTCCCCTGGCATATATTTTCCTGTATATAGCCAGTGTAGTTAGTCTAATAGAGAATAGAAAACATATGCGTGCGCGGATATATATATGACATTCATGTAATCAAATCAACATGGCCTTGGTATGTAAATTGCTGAAATAGTGTTTCTGTGCTTTGTTCGTGACTATGCTTTTATAAACTTTTTTTTATATAAACATCAGGAAAATTAGTTAGATATCATCACGTATGTATGATAATCAAAGTATCCAAAGATTGTAAGACTAACGGAACAATCATATAAGCGCAGGTGTGTTGCAGAGGCTGCGAGTTGCTTACCATGATGCTTTCAAAATCATCATGTCTCAGCCTCGCTCCACTAATAACAGCCTGTTCTTTGCCCAGTTGGGTGTCGACACTTTTGACGCCAGGAGGCGAAAACTGACGCACTCTTTTGCGGCTCGCCTCCTGGCGTCTGGTAACGACATCATCAGTCTGCTTTTACGCTCTGATGCCTTCCCCAGAAGTCAGTTCTGTCGTCGGTACTGCCAGTTGGTAAGCAGACCTAAATAGACCTTCGCTTAGTTTCTTTTATCCTAGGCATTGCATTTTTTAAATCTATGTATATTGTGTTGTCTATATTGTCTTTGGGCTCTGCCTGAATCAAACAATAAATAAAATAACTGTTTTGTCTTCTTGGGACTAAATTTGAGTCATGTCGCTTTTACCTTCGGTAGTATAACTCTGAGTAGCTGTAGTTGTCGGTTGCGTCGCTGGTTCCGTGGGTGGTTGAGTCGCTGGTGGCGTCGCTGGTTGCGTGGGTGGTTCCGTGGGTGGTTGACTACTGCCGTCCGGAGACCTGCCTGATTCCAAATATCAACACAATCCAGTCAGGCCTTCTTAAGTTATGCTGATAATAAATACAGCGAAACAAACACACGCGCGTGCACACACACATACACACACACACACACACACACACACACTCATACACGCACACGCGCTCACACGCACACACACATGAACGTGAATCTGGAAAGAGTAGAAATCGGCCAAATATAATAGATAGATACAACAGAGAACAGTTTGCCGCCCCCGAACTGTACTCTCTAGCGGACAAACTCCCCCGGCATGTTATATCTCTATTTGGCCGATTTCTACTCTTCCCAGCCGCTTCCCGAAGCCTGGTAGAGGCTAAAGCTGACCTGGTGGAGAGACTTGACAGATGAACTTCCCGGCTTCAGTACACGATCCATCGTTCCATGTGTTCTTTTTGAACCAGAATTCGGGAAAGTACTCGGCACAGTCCTCGCTATCGCCACCATCGTCGTTGGGTTCTCCTGGACCCCAAGCTGTGAAGTCGCCCAGAGGAACGTTATCGTCCCACATCCAAACTCCCTCCTGTTCGTGATATGTCAGTCCAAAGCGGAACCAACCGTTCACGTCGACGGCATTTTTTAGTCCGATGAGGAAGTCGTTGGTTGGGTTGTCGCGGGGCATGGCGAGGGTCCCCCCGTCTGAAGAACATCTACTGACTGCGCCGATGTAGGTTGTCCTGTCGTCGAAGGCCTTGTAGCACAGGCGACTAGGCTGATGGTAAACGTACCTGTCTGGGCAACCTATTTCAGAAGGAAAAAGGTTGTGAGGTCGTGTGGCGTAGCGGCAGAGTGCTCGACTCGGAACCAAGAGGTCCCGGGTTCGACATGCCACCGATCTTGTGCCCTTGGGAAAGGCACTTTCCACACTTAACTCAAGTGAAATGAGTATTATCCTGTCCTTTATTTGTCCTCTAGGTTGGTGGCGGCATGAAATAACTTGATTTAACTTGAGTGTGCCGTCACCATGCCTAATCATGAAATATGAGAGAGGGGGGGGGGGTTAGTCTGGTGGAGTCTAGTAGAAACTCACGTAAACACTGAACCACTGTTCGTCTATCTTGACCGTGAACATGACCTACCTGTTGTTTGAGCTTGACCTCCGGGACTCGAGACCAGCACCTTGAGTAAGAAGGCGGCTAACAGCAAGACGGAAGACTTCATGTTTACGTGGTGGATACTGGAACCCAGATATACTTTTTAACCTCCAACTTTCAGATACTTGGGTGGCTACAAGACAGCACTAAATTTTCAAGACAGTATCCGATAAAAGAAAGATACTAGTACCCGTACAAAAAAAGAAAAAACAGAAAAAAATGCCTGAAAAGACGTGAAAAATAGGCGGAAACCCAAACCTCTGTTAGGAGAGTGAGTTTCGCTTCCGCAAATCGTTTTGGACGACTGACAATTTTTGAAGGGCAAAGTAACAGTATGACCTCAGCTGTCGCAGTCTTAGCGAGGGGAGGGGGGCATCGACGTGAAGTCCTCACAAGGTCAGTTTTTTTTATTTTTATTTTATTCACATGGATTTTTGAGCATCGGATAGGAAGCACTTGTTGTGCTTATGTGAATCCGCTGCTCATAAAACATAATACAAATGTAAACATAAAGATGACATAGAGTATAACATAAACATAAAATGAAAGTGGCTGGCGCACCAATACCTATAGCATAACATTAATGAGATTGGTCAAATCTTCCAGAGTGGTGGACATAGTTGGACACAATATCAAAGATACGGCAGTTAGTAGGGTATGGGAGGGAGGGGCTACCTGTAAGAAGTAAAGTACATAATGTGGCGTCGTTTGCGTTGAGTGGGTCAGAAGGGAGTATGTTTTCAAGATGAAGGCAAGGTATGGATAACAACATTTTGGTCCTTTCAGTATTACAAAAGATCGCAGGGTTTTTTTTTATTCCAACATGTAATCACCAGACGTGGTGACGACACACTCAAGTTTTTTTTTCAACTTATGTTAATGCCGCCACAAACACAGGGGACAAATACACGACAGGACAGTACTCATTTTCACCTGAGCTAAGTGATCTTGTGCCACTGATCTTGTGCCCTTAACCTTGGGAAAGACACTTTACACGACTTTCCTCACTTCGCTCAGGTGAAAATGATCGAGTATTGTCCCCTGTGTTGGTGGCGGCATTAATGTAAGTTGCTCAGTGGTGGTAAGATTTTGTTGTGGGCAAGTATGTATTGATTTAAATTATGTTCACCTGCCTTTGTTCCACTAAGTATTAAGTGTGATCTCTTCTTTTGTAGTCATTTAATTGAAAGGAATCACATTTTGTTGAGCGTATATTGATTTGTTATTCATATTTTTGTTATTATTTATGTCAGTTCAAATATTTGTTTACTGTTTTGGTACTTCAATTTTGTATTTATTGGAAAGTACATCAATTATTACTTTCATTTCATACATATTATTTCTATCATTTGACCTCTGATCTTCAATTCCCTTTTTTTTCTCTTTGATTGATTCTGTTTCAAGTTTGTTATAATTTCAGTATGATTTTGTATGTTTTATTTATTATTATTGCTAAAAGCAATTATTATTATTATTATTGTTATTTCATTTAATGTGGACTCCAGGAAGAATAGTATGGAGTTGACTTCCATACTAATGGAGATCTAAATAAACAAACAAACAAACAAACAAACAAACAAAACACTTGAGTGTGCCGTCACCACGTCTTGTGATTACATGTTGGAATTCAATAGAACACGTGGGACAAGAAATGTGAGGGCGAACCATGAATACCAGTAGCAGGAAGTGTCTCAAATGTCTCCCAAAACACACGAGACGCAGCCTTTC